GAAAGTGAAAGCATACCAACACATCAAATGCATTGAGCACTGAGGATGCGGACGTTTCTGATTTTTGACAAGTAGATTGAGCGCCTCTACTTGTGTGAGCACTCCAGGAAATGGAAATGTTAAATAACCAGAGGTAGCAGGTGATTATTTTCAACTATGGTAATTCTATATAATTCTATCTCATTCTAGGTTCGAAGATATTCACCCAGCTGCCATTTAAGGTTTCTCGCAGTGATTGTGACATGTGTATGCGCAGGACAAGGAAAAGTACTTCAGTGAAGGATGTGACATGGCCAAAACTCAGCCAAGGAGCCAATGCCAAATGATTCCAAAATGATCGACCCGCTAAGAATGGGATATACCAGAAATTCTGAATGTACGGAACGAGAAATGTCTACAATATACATATAACTATACATTAACTATACTATATCACAATTTCTGGTATAGTATATATATATATATATACTAATTATATACCTATATCACTATAACTATATCGATATGTCTACAGAGATGGGACTACATGATCATCCCGCTGTCAGGGCAAGTTGAGATGTTGATCATATGCTTACCTTCCCACAAACGTATTCTGGTTGGTGGTTTCAAACCATGGAATTTTATTTTCCGTAATATATGGGATATCATCCTTCCAATTGACTTTCATATTTTTCAAGATGGTTATCGCACCACCAACCAGTTTTTTTTCGATGAACAACGTCCAGCGTTTGTAGATCATTTCCTGGAAATGCATAGGATTTCCATAGCTATGAGTTTAACCGGAGGGTAAGTTTTAGATGTCAAGGAGGTTGCCGTTCAATTGGAAAGATCCTGTGGAAAATGCCACCGGTAAATCTGAAAGTTGGAGGTAACCAGCCAGATTTTCCCCAAAACAAATCACTTAACATCAAATCCATTGCTAAAATCCCGCCAAAATCTCCAAACAAATCCATAAAATCGCAGTAAAATCCCATCGGATCCATTAAATCCTATTAAAATCCTATTCAAATCTCATAAAAAAAACATTAAACCCCACATATCACCGGGCCATTTGTCGCCAATGGCTTCACCCAGCACCCAGATGCTAGGCATGGACGACGGCTTTAAGCGTGGAGAGTTCATTGCCAGCAGCCAGGCAGCGCAGTGTGCCCTGCTGGTCCAGCTACCTGGACGTGGTCCGGAGAGAGGGGGAAGTGGTCCGGTAGATGACTCGCATTTTTCGCATCTTTTCGGGATTAGGCTAGAGAAATGATGATAGGATAACTGGGATGATCTAGGGATTATGATAGAATTAGATTTTATTGGATTTCGACTTGTTGGAGTTTCTAAGATTTTCACTCGCGAGTGTGATGATAGTAGATGGATTTAGATGATAGAATAGTTGTTTTGCAAGTTGAAGCAAACTAGTAGTTAGATGATATTATAAGTATTAGTTACATTACATTAGATTCGATAACTGGATAGAATACCCTCCGTAAACTAACATAGCCATGGAAAATGACCCATTCTTATATTTAAAAAAAAAACAACACCTGCTAAACGTGCTGATTTTCCAATTATCAATCCGCTATGTCAAATTACCAGTGGGTAGGGATTCTATGTACTGGATAGATTTGGATATTATCTATAGTATCTATAGTTAGACACGTATCAAATTTACGAGCCAGCTAAGGTGGTGTATAAGTCTAAGAACATCTAAGAACTACACTTAAGGTTTACGATAGATATTACTGTCCATGGGAGATTTTTCAGCACCATGACTGGTACTCTCTGGTAATTTAATCTGGTTGGTGGTTTGGAACATTTATTATTTTTCCGAATATTGGGAATAATCATCCCAACTGACTTTCATATTTTTCAGAGGGGTAGGTATACCACCACCCAGTAATGTAATTTTCAGATAGCCATGGCATACATGACATAGGAAATGTGGCTAATTAGATGAGTTGCCTATGATTTTTTCCATCTTCCGCGAATCGATATACCCTCCGCTAAAATCGAAGATGTCGAACTGGGAAATCCTCTTCTAATTGTCCGTTGACCATGTTTGATTACCCATATGCTCCATGTATGGCATAATTTACTAACATTTAACCACACAAATGGGCCAAATGTATGTAAATATTACATACATGGAGCATATGGGTTACGGCAAAAAGACAGAAATTGGGAATCTTCATCAGAAATGGTGGTCATAGAGGGCCTCTACAAGCAATTTTCAATTATTGACCCTGACAATTGAATGCATGGGCTGATAACTTTCAAAGAATTGGAATATCAGTCGACAACAAAATGTGTTTTTTGTTTTTGCTAGAAATTATATTCAATTGCCTTCATTGAGATATTAGAGCTGCAGTGAGGCTAGGGAAGATCATGGTTTTGGAATACCATGGGCATGACAAGATTAGGGTGTTGCAGCTGAAGATCTGCAGTGTTGAGCCGAACATTTCAGAGGCTGATGGAACCATGTTGGACAATGTTGGTTATATCAACTATATTTCAAGCAACATTTACCCCAAAATATGATATACACTTGGACAATGTTGGACACACGCCCTATGTGCTCCAAATACCCTCTCAGGAGGTGCATGAACCGCAAAAAAAACAAGTACAGTCTCATAAAGTTTTTGGTACATAGGGAAGGGGAGTATGTTGTTCAGCCAGGCAAGACAAAGACCCAAGGTAACTCTTATTGATATCTTCCCATTCACATTCCCATGTTCTCCTCGTTCAGAAAGCATGAACGTGGAGATGGAGATCCCCCCATTTATACAATTTAACACGTATATACATATATAATATAATATACATATACCCTCTGGTTATTGAACATAGCCATGGAAAATGGGCCATTTACAGATGATTTTCCCAGCTAGAAACCTCCATTTATGGTTGGGATTGTCCAGGGCTATGTTAGTCATAACCAGAGGGTATATGTATATAATGTGTATATATATAGTATATACACATCATTTCCCTGACGTCAGCCAGAGTTTCAAACTTCATGATACCCTCTCTGGTAAACTAACATAGCTATGGAAAATCACTATTTTTAATGGGTAAATCCACTATAAATGGCCATTTTCAATAGCTATGTTAAATTACCAGAGGGTAGCTCCATGAAAGATGGTGAATCCTTGGTCAAGCTGCTTTTTTGCGGCTGAACATGGACGGAACATTGAGGCTGATTACATGGGTGATGCTGGTTGAGAACGGAATCTGGGTCAGCAATTTTCAGGACCCAAGGCTTGCCTTGGAGTCTCCAAAAGGTTGAAGAGTGGTTCCAAGATTGTATACCCTCTGGTAATTTAGCATAGCTATTGAAAATTGCCATTTATAATCATTTATAGTGGATTTACCCATTAAAAATGGTGGATCTTTCCATAGCTATGTAAACGTTTACCAGAGGGTAAATGAAGTTTCACCTAGAATTGGTTTCCAACTGTTCTATCTATGGCTGGGGGGTGCTAAACATGTTTTTTTTGTGCAACAAAAATTGGAGGTGTCGACCCTTGCCTGGACCAAACGGAGCTGGACTGAAGAAGTTTCAACGGATCAGGATATCTCAATGAATTAAACACTAGCACCAGTCATACGCAATGTGGGCTATGTTGACTATGTTCATCTATGTTCATAGATGTTCATATATATATATACATATATATATATATATTTCAGATATGTTCATATGAATCATATATGTTCATATATGTTCATGATGTTTTCGTTGGGCTCGACACATTTTTCATTATCGTCTTCCGGTCGCCGCAGCGTGGCTTCGACTTAAAACCGTGGTGATCCAAGGATTTGCCGCGGCACAGGAGCAGATAGAGTGGTTTTGCCCAGAGTGGTTTAACCATCAAAATACAGGGATTGGTAAATGTCCCATTTTGGGGCTATTGGACATCACCTTATAGTAGCCATGGCATTGACCATATACCTAATGGTTGGGTGATGTTCAATGGGGACATTTAATGACCCATGAAATAGAGTGTAATGATCTATAGATCTATAGTGGTTGAACCATAGTGGTTAATAATGATGATTATTAGATTAACAATAGTGATATTATTATTATTAACCATTTCACTCTATTAACAATGTTGAACCACTATTATTAACCACCACTATTATTGGTTAGTGATAATAATAGTGGTTCAACATGATCTATAGTATCTATAGTGATAGAATGTGATAGATGATTGTTAGATTATTAGATTACCCCTCAAATTTGCCCAGATAGATGATCGATCTAGTGAATAGTGAAAAACGAGATGTGAATAGATCACAAATTGTTGGGCAGTGAAATAGTATGAAATGCTGAACATCAGCGCTGATTCTCCTCCCATTTCTGCCAAGTTTTGTTTGTTTCCGCCTGGATCCACGGAATGAACAGCGGCTGACCCGGCTTGAAGAGACCCCTTCATCGGCATGATCGACATGTTCGCTGGATGGTTTTCCAGGCGGCGCCCCCCAGTTCTATAGCTATAATAGTTGTAAATCAGTTAAATCTATATAGTGAATAGAAGTGAATAGATGTGAATAGTGGTTAATTTATAATTTTATGAACCGATTTATAACCACAGACTATTCACATCTATTCACTATAGATGTCTGTACCATAAGCCCAACAGTTAATGTATGTTAATGTCAACTCCGCATTAATAGCCCCTGGTTGATTAACCAGGGGGATTCCCGTAGATGAGTGATAATCGGCTACTAAAATGGTATCCCCGCTGTAAAACAGCCTAGTGGCCTAGTGGTTTATTAATCCGGGGGTATCCGGGTGTTGACTTTACCGTTATCATTACTGGGCCAGCCTTTGTTAGATACTTACTATAGTACTGTAAATCTTATGCTATGCTAAAATGCACATTCAGCAGCTAAAACATGTTTTTTTTTTTGGCATCTTTCAGATTCACTTGTTGTTTTTTTTGCTTCCGAGACTTAACCAACCTCATGATGGCTTCATCCACCCGAAACTTCTTCGGGTTCTTCCGCAGGATGGCAAGGAGGATGCGGTGCACGATGCGTGGCAAGAGAGTCACCGGCTGCTCTTGAAGTTGATCGAGAAGACCATGACCAACCTGGACAAGCCAACGAGGCCGGCCGTTTTAGGCTTTTAGGGGGGAAGAACGAGGAAGAACAGTGAAGAACATGACTGGGATCTTGGAGAAGTCTGTGATCTTGAAATAGCTTTTGGACACTTCAGATCTGAAATGCATTTTTTGGGCTTGATGGATCCACTCTTCAAGGTGGGAAGCAACCAGGAGCTGCCAACTGGTTTCTGTTCATTTTTGCCACCTCTTTATCGGGGGTTCGTTTCGGAAAATGGGAGTAGCCCTGTTCATCCATGTGATTTTCGGATCAATTACTATAACCATCCAGCTATATCCAGCGGAGGCTCATCCCCGTGGCTTAGGAAACCCTATTGATGTGGGGCATTCGATTCACCATATTCACCATGACCAGGCAGAAGATCATGTGTGCCATCACGTTGGACGCCCACAATCGAGATGTGCAAGAGCGTCGCTGGGCGCGAGTCATAGCTGGCAAATCATTTGTACAGGTAGCAATATATGTCATGTGTGTTTTCAAGTTCTTATAATATATATATATATATATGTATATAGACATAAATATGATAGCTATAATACAGCTATACATATTGATATCTTCGTCCGTTCTGGCCTCATAGAATATGGGATAGCTGGCAAGTACATATCTGCCAGCGAGGAAAACCTTGCATGGGTACTTTATAGCTAAGCACATATTCCATGCAGGGTATCTAAGATTGGCCATGCATCCACTTGGGTTATTTTGCCCAGTATGTATTGCACTAAATACTATTATATATAATATATATATATATGAAAAAATATGAACATCTATTCAACATGTTTTTTTTTTCCCATAGTTACGTTCAATCACCAGGGGCTATATTTGGTGGCCCATCCCGCTTGGTAAGTTGATGATAACCCATTGGCTGGAATGAACCACCAAGTGTTATTTTGTAAGATGTAAAAGGACTTGAATTGGGACCGAAATTGAAGTCGCAAACGGATAAACATGCAAACATACTGGGGAATAGGGAGATAGACTTTGAACATCTTTCAGCTCATCTACCAATTATAAATACATATTTATTTATACATATCGCCAAATATAACCCCTGGTGATTGAACGTAACTATGGACAAAAACACATGTTGAATAGATGTTCATTTTCTTTTTCATAGGTGAATCATCATATAAATTAATATAAAGTATCTATCATGGGCCATTTTCCATAGCGGTGAAGCAAAAAGTCAACGGGGCATCATGATCATCATCCCAAGCCTGATCAGGTTTGGTGCAAGAGAAGGTGATCTCCAAGGATGCTTTCCAATGGCAGAGCATGTTGAAGTGCTACTGGAAAGAGGACGCCGCTTGCGAGTGGCTGGAACATGTGAGAACTAGCAAAAAAGCTGGAAGATGTTGTAGAGAGAAGCAGGAATTCTAGGAAAAAAATGGTTGTTTGATGTTATTTATACATAAACCAGTGTTTGAGCCTCAATACGCAACAGCACGTGCTGCTGGTTCAGTGTGTTTTACTCTAGGGATTTGCTTGCTGGTCATGGTGATACTTTCCCATCGGTGAATCCATGGGTTTTCATCCATAAAATTTCAGGACGTGGATGATGCATCGATGGAGATCGCGGATGCCAAATTGCCATATGGTTATGATCCTTGGCTGTCTTGGCGGCTGCTTGGATGTGCTAAGCTAAATGATAGTAAACATGAATATCATATGCAAACATTGTGATGTAAGGTGATTCAATGGGACAAGAATGGGACATAATTTAATAGGATATCACCATTACTACTTGGACGTGCATCCCAGTCAGTAAGTGGTTTATAAGCCCTATATAACCCACATATAAGCCATATATAAGCCATACAGAGGTAGTCCATATGGCCTGTTACCCACTTACAGGGATGTTTGGGATATGGTTGATAAACGGTGGTTGATAAACGATGGTTGAAGGGTTCAGCTAGGGAGTTCTACTAACTGCATGGTTACCAAATAGTCAAATCATTTTGGCTCAGGAGGTGCTTGGATCGGGGCAAGCACTGAAATTTATCAGTTTCCCATGATTTCTCCAAAGCTTACAATAGAGGATATTCCCATCAAACAGTGTTCCTCAAAATATTCTAGTATTGTTACCATCTGGTTATTTAACATAGCCATGGAAAATCACCATGTTTTATAGGTAAACCATCTATTTCATTCTATTTCTATGGGCCATCTATACCATGGCTATGTTAAATAACCAGAGGGTAATTCATCATGATGTATCCATATATCCATAACTGTTGAATTATATCTCCCTCATATCCAACAATGATGCTGTTCCCATTAATAATGGAGATATAAGTATTCTTCAACCCATAAAGCTATGTTCTTAGATAGTATAATATATATATATGGTTGGTGGTTTGGAACATTTTTTTCCATCATATATGGGATATTTTTTCCCATTGACTTTCATATTTTTCAAGATGGTTATTGCACCACCAACCAGATATTATACGCGTGTATCCTCGTGTATCCACACCAGTTTGTCCCATAATAAGTCGGATTCCCAGATGTTCCCAGTAAAAAAAATGGTTGGTTGCCCTGCCTGTAACCGACGATGTGGAGAAGCATAGCCATAAGTAGATCATTCATTCCGAACGGAAAACCAGAACGGTTTTCCACGAATTTATCTTATAGTTTAATCCGCTGGTAACTACTATGAACTCCCATAAAATCCCATGAAATTCAACAAAATCACTTTTTAAATCCCATAAGATTGGCCATAGAATACCATATAAATCCCATATCCCATAAACAAATACCATAAGATCTTATAAAATCCCATTAAAATCCATAAAATCCCACCAACACCCATTAAAATCCCATTAAAATCCGTTTTACCACCATTCGAATGCCTGGTGAAAGCCCGCCGTTGCCCAGGAATACCTGGGCAACGGTCCTCGTCTGGTGGTCACGCCCTTAACGGATCGCATCTACGTGACAGCGACGCAGGCGATGGCGAGCGATCTGGCCATGGCCCATGTGGCCATCGAAACGGGGAAGAGTCTTACTGGTGCTTAGTAGGGATTCGTAATGATTAGTAAGCACCAGTAAGAATAGTAGGATGATTCCCTACTTAATATTAATATTAGTGGTGGTCATACCATAGAATCAATGGCTTGTGGATATATATCTGGTTGGTGGTTTAGAACCATGGAATTTTATGACTTTCCATTCACTTGGGAATTTAATCATCATCCCAACTGACTTAAACTCTATCATTTTTCAGAGGGGTAGGTCAACCACCAGCAAGTAATGATTGGTAAGGATTATCCTAATATTAGGATCATTACTAATAAACTTCACTATATATATATGGGAATGATTAGGATCCTTACTAATGATTGTTAGGATCATTCCCTAATATTAGGATCATCCTAATGATGATTAGGATCATCCTAATAAACCTCATTCGTAATGATGAGTGGATCACTAAGTACTCGATTCATAAACTATATTAGAGGGAATGAGGGAATAATATATATATATATTAGTACATCATCATCTTTCTATATTAGTACTCAAGTACTCTATTAATACATGGGAATGAAGGAATGAGCCATCTGAAAAAAAAAAAATATATTAATCCTATTCCTCCATTCCCATCCTCTACGAAACATGGCGACGCCGCTACGAAATGGTGGAAACAAATGGGTTGCTGATTTTTGGTGATGCGCTTGATATCTCCACCACCCAATAGTTACCCGGCCTGGTTATTTAACTAACATAGCCATGGAAAATCCCAACCATAAATGGAGGTTTCTAGCTGGGAAAAATATACCATGGCTATGTTAAATAACCAGAGGGTACCCTCTGGTAATTTTTTACATAACTATTGGGAATCACCATGCTATGAAAATGGGTAAAAATCAACGATTTCGACTGGGCCATTTTCAATAGTTATCTGGTTGGTGGTTTCAAACATGAATTTTATTTTCCATAATATATGGGATAATCCTTCCCATTGACTTTCATATTTTTCAAGATGGTTATTGCACCACCAACCAGTTATGTTAGTTTACCAGAGGGTACTGGAGTTCCGTTGGTCAACTTCGCCAACAGCTTGGGGGGCACCTCTACTGTCACTGTAGTGAGGTCCTCACCATCAACCCCTATACGGTACTATAGGTGGGTGCCCGAATTCGTTAGCTAAGTCAAGGTAGTTTCCAACTCCAATAACTAGCCTTTATGGTTGATGTATCTATTTATTATCTATAGGCAGTATTTATGTGGGATGTAAACCAACAAACATAACATTTGGGGGCACCACCCTGGTAGTTGACGAGTCACAAGTTGTTTTATTGTTTTATTCCCCATTTGAATATAGTCATGTCACCATAAACCCAAGATATTTAACCTATAACTCTAGCGATTTCACCATCAATTGCACCATAAACCCAGGATCCTACACTTCTGAAGCACCAGCTTGCTCTTTTTGGCCCAAAAAACCGGTGGTCACTTCACCCACTGCCCTTGAAAAACCACGTCCGACGTCAGGCCTTGCACTTGTGCATGGGCTGCGCGCCGGCCGGACCTGCTGGCACTGGGAAGACGGAAAGTACCAAGGACTTAGCCAACGCCGTGGCGAAGGCGGAACAGCCCGGTGCCAACCTGCCAACCATATCTGGTTGGTGGTGACTGGAACCATGGAATTTGATGACTTTTCACAAATTGGGAAAAGTAACCCCAACTGACGAACTCCATGATTTTTCAGAGGGGTAGGTATACCACCAACCAGATATATATATATAACCACAGTTATCTAGGGGATATCTTATGGGGGTTATAACGGTTATAGCGTTTTTTGGCCTCAACTGCACCCCCAAGTAGACGTTCATCCACCTAAGCATGGTACGCAGATGCAACCCATGGTGCTGGAATATTTATTTATATATATATATACCTACATTTACCCCCCAACAAAAAATTGCCCAGTTTTGTAGGTGTGCATATTTCAGCACCATGGTGGTTCGCATCTGGGACAACTCATTGGGCTATGTTTTTTTCAAAGCTGGGTACTGTGAATTGACACTTCAAGCTACCCTTTGGTAAACGTTTACATGGCGAACTGGAAAATCACCATGTTTAAATCTGTTTAATGAACGTAAATGAACTATTTCTATGGTCATTTTCAATAGCGAACTGTTAGTCATTACCAGAGGGTATCAGATTTGGGCCAACATTTCTACTTCCAACATGGGTTGATTATCGACACTTTCTCGATAGTCTATCTCGTAAAAATTCTGCAAGCATGCGAAGAAAATGTGATGAGAAGAAGAAATGTATCGATTCGATGATGACCATAAGACATGAAACAAACAGGAAAACTGGAGCAATCGTACGGAATATTCATGGGTTTGGGCCCGAAATACCCTTTGTCAAACTTGCTACCTCCAGGCATGAGGGGAAAGCTGCAAATTTTGTACCCATTAATGATGTTTGTAGCAGATTGGACGAATGATGAAACCATCAAAACACATAAAGACCAGGAAAATTCATGAAAACGCAGGATTGAATCACACAAACCGTGTTAAAATGATGGACAACAGCATCAATACATGCATGTAATGGAAAATGGATGAAAGGCAGCATCCAACCAGCTCGAAACAGATGGAACATCATGAAACGGCATCAACACGTGTCAAGAATACGGAACGTATTGAACAATACATGCCCGAAATACCTTTTGAATATCTACTTTGTCGAATTTAGCATGCAGGCATGTGAAGAAAGCTGTGATTTTCGTTGTAGTGAACCTTTCCAGTCTCCAGCTAAGGTTTCTATACCTTCTAATCAACTAATGTCAACTTCGGAAGAATATACCCCGGTAGATTAATTTCAGGGGTCTTCCCATAGCGATCATCAACTTTTGAAACATCAACAGCCCAGGAGTTTGTTGATTCGGGGGGTTGACATCATCATTCTATAATTTTATGGCGTTTTTTCGGGGGGAATCCCAGCACACTGATCTAGAAATTGTGGATGTTCCAAGCCGAAAAAACACGGAATATTCTCATGATATCCTCATGACAGCCCTATAAGATCCCTATGATATCCCCATCATTACCCTCTGGTAATGACTAACAGTTTCCTATTGAAAATGGCCATAGAAATAGTGAGTTTTCCCATGAAAAATGGTGATTTTCCATAGCTATGTTAGTCTACCAGAGGGTATCCCTAGTGCAAAGGATGTTCAATGATTTTCCGCAGTGGAGGCCTGCTACGTCATCAACGCGGCGCCAGAGATGGACTATCTGACGTTGGGTGATATCTACAAAGGCCTTTTGGAAAACCTCGGTGGTTTTCCGCCGGATGGAAATCCGCTTTGGGCTATATGCAGTTTGGAGGATCATCCCACTTAGTAAGCATTCAATAAGTCTGGTTAGTACATCACCTAAGTGTGTTGTGCCGTCTATAAATACCCTCTGGTAAACTAACATAGCTATTGAAGATGGCCCATAGAAATAGATGATTTTCCCATTAAACATGGTGATTTTCCATAGCTATGTTAGTTTACCAGAGGGTAGATTACAACTACAGTATATTACTAACCATTGACGAGTCGTGGGATGATCCTTCAAGTGGGAATTGTCAAATTTCATGTTCATCATCGTCTTGCCAAAATCGCCAGCTCACATGTTTAGAAGGTGTCGAACCGGGATTTCACCCTTTTCTCATGGTGAAATCCCTACCACAAAAACGTGATGGTTTGTTGCTAGCAATTTTAGCCCCAGAAACCATTTGGGCACCACCTCGTAGTTGATAGGTGAATTTCCCCACCCTTTGTGGTGAAGTCACTAATGTTTGGATCAACACCACTAAAATATACGAAAATCACCTATGAATTTTGATCTCTAAATCCCAACTTATCATAATTGATCAAGGTTTTCTATCTTAAGATCTGAACTCTAAATCCCAACTTATTATATTCTTATCAATTTTCAAGGCTTTCTTAAGGCAAAATTCATGTTTCACATCCCATCCCTACGGATCCCAAAAAACACGGTCTTTTCGATACGCTACGGCCGCTACGGCTAAAACGGGGGCCCCATGATAGTCCCATAGAAAAATCCCATGAACAAGTCCCATATTCAAACAACAATCTCCCGTTATCCCATGATTATCCCATGATTATCCCATTAGTGTACCATTAGTGTACCACTATTGTTGTTTTTTTTTACCAGCCATGATCAGTTATCTAAGTCTATATATATATATATATCCCAACTTATCATCAATTTTCAACGTGTTTTTTTAAGGCAAAAATCGTTGAACAAATCCCATCAAGGTTTTTCTTTCCCATGATTCAGCATATCACCACCACTTATCATTATCTATCAGGTTTTCTAGGCAGGTGCTAAATCCATAATTATCATCATCTATCAGGATCCATAGGAAATTGGTAAATTAATTCTTATAAAAATGGCTATCACATGTTATAACCATGGTGAAGTAAAGGAGCCATGTCAAATCCCATCTGGTTGGTGGTGACTGGAACCATGGAATTATATGACTTTCCATTCAGTTGGGAATGTCATCATCCCAACTGACGAACTCCATGATTTTTCAGAGGGGTAGGTAGCCCCCACCAACCAGATGTTCCTAATATGGGATAATCGGATAATCCTTCCCATTGACTCATATTTTTCAAGATGGTTAAAACATGTTAAAACCACCAACCAGCCATGGTTCTCCATGCATTTTTTCTTCAGAACACCGCGAGGCCTCTCCGCGAGTGGCTCCTGGGGATGCTTCGATGAGTTCAACCGCCTGGTCCCCGAGGTGCTGTCCGTGTGCACGGTGCAGTTCAAGGCGGGGGGCATTTTTTGGAGGCGTAGAAAACTGAGGGTTTTACCATGAAACATGATGGTTTTAGCATGAAAAATGGTGGTTTTCAAGTGAAGAACTGGGGTTTTACCATGGAAAATGGTGGAACACATGGTGGTTTAAAGGATGTTTAAAGATGTTTAACATTGTGAAGTAGGGTTCTATCCCTTGTTTTTCAGTGGGATAAGTAGATAAAGATCCACTAAAAAATAACGGTGAACTGACCTAGGGTTCTTGGGATGAGCCACCAAGTGGTGAGGACTTGGCCTTGTTTCATGGTTTTTTGACGTAAGCAACATGGCGGTAGAATTGGTATACATAAACCAGCCAATAATGGTTAATATTGGTTAATATTGGTTAAAAGTCATTATAGTCATCCATTAATCACCACTATTAACCAATAATCAGCCAATAATAATGGTTAATATTGGTTAAATTTTGGTGATTGATGGATGACTAATGATTTTTATGTAAACAAACCATCTGGTTATGACATTCACAGTTAGCGAACTGGAAAGATCCACCATGCTATTAATAGGTAAACCATCGAACTTTCTATGGGCCATGGCTTAACCATGGCTATGTTAGTCATACCCAGAGGGTACATAAACCACTAGATGATTTTGATCATGTTTGGTCAAAAAAAAGTCACTTCTGGCCGAAGCAAACCATACAAGGTGGTGCCCGCCAGTGATGTTAGTTGGTTTATAAACCCCATTAATTATAGATATATCTACCATAAACCATAGTGAAATTGGAGTTATAAACCAACTTACTATTGAAAATCACCATTTTTACTGGGAAAATCCACTATTAATGGTCATTTTCAATAGCAAACTGTTAGTCATTACCAGGCCGGGTATTTTTTGGATGTTTTACACCTAAGGCGGTGTGCGATGCCATCAGGGCCGGCATGACGCGCTTCATGTTGCAGGGCGATGAAATCAACCTGAATCCGCAGGTGCGGTGTGCGATGCGGTCGGTTGGTTTGGTCACTTTGGGGTTCAATAAATTGAGAGGACCACATGTTAGTTTATCTATGTTAGTTTATCTATGTTAGTTTATCTATGTTAGTTTATCTATGTTAGTTTATCTATGTTAGTTTATCTATGTTAGTTTATCATATCTATGTTAGTTTATCTATGTTTAGTTTATCTATGTTTAGTTTATCTATGTTTAGTTTATCTATGTTTATCTATGTTTATCTATGTTTATCTATGTTCAATAAATAGACACATGTTATAGTTTATCTATGTTTATCTGTAACTGGTTGGTGGTGACTGGAACATGGAATTTAAATGACTTTCCATTCAGTTGGGAAGAATAATCCGATTAATCCTAACTGACTTTCATATTTTTCAGAGGGGTTGAAAGCACCAACCAGTAGTTTATCTGTAAGTATTGACCATCCATTTTTAGTATCCAATTTTGACCCATAGCCACTTGGGTTTCAGTGATCACGTGGGAGATTTAGCCATGATTATTACATGAAAAATGGCAGTTTTCATGGGGAAGATACAGTACATCATTCTAGGGGTACCATACTGTGGATGGAAGAAATCCTGCACCAGTTGATAGGTGGTTTATCCCATTATTTATAGGGTTTTAACCATCCAAGGTGGTGCAGGATTTCTTCCACCCACCGTATGTTCAAACCCGCTTTATGCATCATCCCACGAATCGTCAACAATTTGAACACGCCTAGTGATCGTAAGTCCCGCTTTTGGACGTGTTGGGTAACTCATTGATGGTCAAATCATCTAGAACATCTAGAAATGGGGGAGTCCCATGCGTGTTGTTGAATGAAAACCAGTTATCTCATGTCAAACATATAGTTATCAAATTTTCCACCATTTCTTCATTTTTCTTGGTGAACTCATCAACCTGGTGAAGTCCCCCAGGTAGTGAACTCCCCCAGGTTCAACGAAACCCACATCCACCGGTACTCGCCTCACCTCAGGTGGGTTGCTTCATCACCATGAACCCGGGCTATCTGGGCCGTTCCGAGCTACCAGAGGGTCTGAAGGCCTTGTTCCGACCCATCACGGTGATGGTGCCAGACTTCAAGCTCATCATGGAGAACATGTTCATGGGATGCTTGGATGATGTTTTTGGGTCGGAATTCCTGGATTTATGGAATGTGGATGATCTATCCAGTAATGATGCTCGGATGATGATGGATTAATGATGGATTAATGATGGATTATGGATCCATGGCCGCTGTCGAGAGGAAGGTACGGCTAACCCCCTAGTCATCATACCCCAGTCCCACTTCCTAGGAAGGTACTTGGATCCATAGTGGATGATTAATGATGGATTAATGATGGATTAATGATGGTTTGGTCTATGGATAGAATCTAGAAAGTTCCGAAATCCAGTTTGTAGCTCCATGAATGTGGGAAAAATGGACACATGGGACGCTCGACGGATGTGTTTTTGGAATCCTGGATGGCTTATGGATGATCTATATGGATAAACCTCCATTCCATTCCTGGTCAATGGCCATGAAGATTTTTAGGGTTTATGGATGGAAAATGGTGGATATAAGGAACTGGATGATCTCGGATGTTTTGTTTGATTTTGCGGGGATATAAGGAACTATAAACTACGTAGTTAATGGGTTTAGAAACCAACAAACTGGGAAATTGCATAAAACATATTAAAGAATCATAAAAGGATGTCCGAATTTCTGGAAATATTTGGAAATGACAGAAAGATATATGTTTTTCCATAGTGACCATGACTTGAAACCCATGGTTTTTGACTTCCGATGGTCGAGGTGAAGGGTTCACTGAAGCCAAAGCCCTGGGACTGAAGTTCTCCACGCTCTATGCCTCCTGGTTGAACTCAGCGCAAATAGATGGGAAAAAAATAATAAGGGCGATGTTCAAGCCATGATTATATTTAACAGAATGATACAAAATGCTTGAAGATGTTCAAAACCATAGAACTACAGGGATTTAAGGTGAGAATTGATTTTCCTTCCACTTCGTTGGTTTTTGTTGGGTATTGTTTGAACATGACCAGGAGAAATGATGCGTCCTGGGTTTGCTGCATGGTTTCATGATCATAAGTCTTTGTTTTGGGAGATATGACAATATATATATATATATCATATATATATATATATATATCATATATATATATCATATATATATATATTTATTTATATTATCTATAGATATCTGGGACCATAGTGATATGACCTATCGACCATATCTTGGAATCCACTTTAAGATATCCATATTTTCATCTTCCATCATCCATGTGGTGCCGATCATTTTGCTGGTGCCATGGTGGTTTCACCACTTAAGAAGCACCTCGAGGCTTTGAACAAGGACTTGCTCTCCCAGTCCAAGAAATATGCCACCTGGCAGCTGAGAGATAGCCAGCTTGGCTTGCGATGAATTTTTTTGAGGTCAGAATCAGAAGGATTTATAGGGAAACCCGGAAACCATAGGAACAAGAAACATATTTTCATAACTACCAAGATAGAAGGAACTACCATGAACTACCTAACATAGACTACTATGGTGGTATTTTACAAATAGTTCCTTCCTCTATTTGTTCCTTTTTTCTTAGGCTTTAGGGTTTAGGGATATCTCTCTGGGATGAACATCGGAATATCATGGGACAGTATCCCATTAAAAAACCGATGAGATTTTCCCAGTAAACGCCGCATTTCTCTCCATTTATCTCATCATTTATAGGACATGTCCCATTGCTATCAATGGGAATTCCAAGATCCTAAAATGGAGGTACTGTACCATATAAGGCCATATTTTGGGGGGATATCCCCTTACATAGCCCTTATATAGGCCTTATATATGGTAGGTACCTCCATTTTAGGATCCTGAAATTCCCATTGATTGCTATGTTTGATTGCCGGAGGTACATCATCCACATTATATCCACCAAAAATTTCATCCTCACGAGGATTGCATCGCTTTTTTTTGGCTGCTTGAAATCATGTTTTTCTGAAAGAAACACCATGTCTATGGCTGAATCGGCCTTTCTGTTGGTGAAATTACCAGCTTGTTGCTTGTGGTCGAGCCCCCCAAGTGTTGTGAGTGAACCTTGGACACAAGAAAAGAACGCACAGGGTCCAAAGATTAAAACCCTGGCTTTAGGGTAGATCAACTATGAACCCTAAATCCCAAAGAACACACATTCCCATATTTTTTTTTCTGAGCCTCCCCCAGCATTTCCTCAGTTTCTGGCGGATTCTGGCGGTGTCCCCCTAGGACTGGGGCATGCGAGCCATCAAGAGTGTGCTGGTGGTGGCCGGCGGCTTCAAGCGTCCCTGGTTTCACAAGAAAGAATTGCGTCCCTGTATCATATATTGGCATATCCCAATATGGTGGTTTCCTAAACTAGGGGTACCCCCAAATCATCCATGCTAATTTCGGATTTTACAGTGGAACCATCCATGTTGGGGTACCTTTATTTTAGGAAACCTCCATAGAACTAGGGGGAGTACCATAGTGGAATTGCCTGGGGATTTCATCTTGGAAAATGGATTTATAGAGGCTACGGGACCCATAAAAATGGACCCAACTTATGATTTCATCAACTGGGAATAGCAGCACTAAGTGAACAGGGGAACTCTCAGAGCATATTTGGATAAGTAATATGGATCGAAGACATATTGACAACCAGGGCCAAAAATGAAGGGTAATATCGATTGGAAAGCAGCAAATTGAGGCCTAAAATCAGGATGAGACTTCATATCTTTTTATTTGTTATACTGTATTTTTCCGGATTCCCTGCGCCAAATGAAAATAGACATGGAAAGCTCATCGTTTTCCAAAGAACATGCGAGCCGCAAATGCAAAGCTCATCTATGTCATTTTGCTTGAGGGTACCCTCCGGTCTCATCAATCCTAAATCATCTAATTATACCATAGCTATACTGGTTGGTGGTTTGGAACATTTTTTAATTTTCCCCAATAGTTGGGATGATGATCCAATCTGACTTTCATATTTTTCAGAGGATTGAAACCACCAAGCAGTTTATGTTAAATATTGTAAAATAACCAAAGGGTAAATGAGAAAAATCAATGACAAGAAATCCCCCGACAACCTTCTGACACTTTGATGATTGGAACAATCGAGAGCAGACCCCCTCCATGTTTTTTTTCACACTAGAACCACTCAGTTTCAGCTGCAAATTTCCAACAAAACCAACCCAGTGAAACCTCTCAGCCACCATGTTTTACATGTTTTTCCACTAAATTCTCATACATGGCAAATCTCCATGTTTGATGCTCAAACCATCGCACAACATCTCAAAACCCCAATGTTTTCAGGGTTCCATCCACCATTTTCCATGGTGAACCATGGTGAAACCATGATTTTTCCCGGTGAAACCACCATGTTTCCTGCTAAAACCCATGGATTTTCATCGCTTTAGGGTGTCCTCTTGAGGTGCCGATGCCAGTCTGTCGGAGCAGGCGGTCCTGATGCGGTCCCTGCGCGACACCAACGTGGCGAAGATCGAAGGCGACGACCTGCGAATCTTCATGGCTCTGCTGGGCGATCTCTTCCCAGGCTGCCGATGTTGATGAAAAAAAATGCGGGGGGATCAAGCGGGCTGCCAGCATGTGGTGGATTTATATTGATTTATAGATGATCTATAGTTGATGAAATGTGGTGATGTTTTTTTTTCAGGTGAGATGATTTGTGAGGGTGATCTCTCTATTTTCCAGAGGATTTCATCAGCAAAAATGATGGAACCTGGGAATGGAGGAGGAAATTTGCAGGCGGGGATGGGTGCACAACAAAGAATTATGGAACATGTGAATATAAGAGAGAACAACTGTGATTTCAAGTCGATCATAGTTGACTTTTGATGGACATTTTGCATTTTTTTTAGTATTAAATGGTTCTATTACAGTCCCCAACTAGACAGAACAGTTATTTAACACAATTTTTGTGGGACTTTACTTTTCGTTGGGTTATGGCAGATATTTCTTTAGTCAATGGAGGATACTCCAAATTTGCCATTCTAAGAGTGGGGAGGGTTGACCATCAGACATAGGCTATGATGAGGGATGTTCATATCATATCTATACAATGTGGGGCCCCCAAGATAGCTAAGTTGGTTTATAACTCCAATAACTATGGTTTATGGTACTTATAGCTATAGTTAATGGGGTTTATAAACCAACTTATAACTGGGGGGCCCCACATTGTAGTTAGATGGGTTTTGAAGTAGACCGATTTACCTTATTTTTGGGTCCCCACATTGTAGTTGGTGTGGGGGATTGGTGGATAATGGTGAAGATTATCAAATTATCATTGTGTTATTATTATTATTATTCTGGGTAAATTATAACGACCTCACTGCGACCTCACTGGAATCATAGTTGATAAGGGAAATCATCCCCAAATGGCCTTACTTCAGGTTAGTGAAATATTATGATTTACCCAGATTATTGTTATTACCAGTACCATTATTACTGAACACATCTAAACACATTGTTTTTTTGCTGGATTGATGTAATGGGCTGATTCTGATTTTATCAACAAAACAAGGGGGAGTTAAGGGGTGGACAGAGCCGGAGAAGCTTTAAAGTGCAGGTCACTGGGTTCGTTTTGTGGCAGATAGAGAAATACGTTGTGTCCCAGAATGGCGGTTCTTGGGCCCCAGCCCCAGTTTCAGCAAAGCCTACTGTTACAGTACTCAGTCCCAAAATGTAGCCTATTTATAGTTCCAATAACCTTTTAGGTTTCTGGCTTATGGTAAATTTATACTGAACCAGTTCATGGGGGGTTATTTTTGGGGGTTGTCAACAGGCATAACTGGGCAGGTACCGCCTTGTGCTATCCCAGACATGGGAGTGGCAAGTAATTTTTGGGGAACAACATCGACTAGTTTGTTCTATTCTAGATCCCCAAAAAAACACAACATAGTTCATCATCCCAGTTGGGGTACACAGTTTTGATTTATATATATATACATATATATATATACATATATATATATATACAAATATATATATATATATACAAATATATATATATATATACACATGTAATATACATGTATATATTTATACTGTGTTCCCATTAAAGGTGCCCCAAATGGTCGACAGGCATTGATGTGCCCCGAGCCCGCGATTACGAGATGGAGGTGCGGATGGTTTGAACCACTTTGAAAAGGCCCCAAAAAATTCTGGGCATAATCCCTGAAATTTAGCATCTGGTTATGACTCACATAGCCATGGAAAATCACCAGTTTTAATAGGTAAACCCAGGTAAACCATCTATAAATGGGCCATTTTCCATGGCTATGTTAAATTACCAGAGGGTAGCTCTAAAAAATACGCCATATATGTCGGTAGCTCCAGTTCCTGAAATGGCCATTCCTGTGGAAAAAACTGTCCAAGTTCTCTCAGTTTCAAAAAAACTTCCCCAGCTTCATATACGCAGCTTGATCCACCATTCTAAGTGATGTTCATCATCCATTATGTTCTCTTCTCCGAAATCATGTTTTGATCAGAATCGAACAGCATCCGGTGGCTAGAAGGCAGCTAGGCGACTATCGGCACCGCTTTGCTCAAAAAATGGGGAGCCCAGAGCAATGAATTGAGTGTCCCAACCAATATTAGAACACATTGATGATAGTGAATGATGATAGTGAAGTGACATTTAATGGTGGTTGGTGATGGTCGGTCATCTGATAGCTCATGGCAAAACCATGATTCTTACATATTCTTACCACACACTAACCATATTGTAGGAATTTGTAGGATATGTTCACCAAAATGGTGGAGTAAAACCGGTGAAATCGGCCATTTCAACAGAACTCCCTTTGTTGCCAGAACCATCGGCCGGGAATCGGCCGGCTGTAGGAAGTGCTGGTGGATGTGATGCAAACGGACTACGGCTACACCCACGACCCCGATGGCTATCTTCTCTTGAAGATCACCCAGCTGATTGAGCTGCTGGGTATCCGACACTGCGTGCCTTGGCGTGGCGGTAGTGATCTTTCCATGTGGTGAAAAAACAATGCCACCCTTACCATGCCCCAGTCATCACCATTTTTATAGGTGGTATGTAAACCATTCCCAGTCATGGATGGTTTATGCTGGTTGGTGGTGACTGGAACCATGGAATTTCATGACTTTCCATTCACTTGGGAATTTCATCATCCCCCACTGACTTTCACTCCATCATTTTTCAGAGGGGTTGGTTGGAACCACCAACCCGGGCTGGTAAACATGGCATTGTCAGACGGATCCCAAATGATCCCATCGCGATGTTCACGGTGGAAATTTTCGAGCCTCCGAGGGTGACGTTTTTGAGGTTCGGTTCATCCCCTTTTTTCAGTGCGCAATACAACCCATCATTCGATCATATACTATCCCCATGATTTCCGATTGATGCCCATTTTGGGTTGGTTCTCTACAGTACCTGTTGTCTCAATGTGTTATTCTTTACTTATCTAGACTTATATGATTGGTACATCCCTTTTTCATGAATAGGAACATCGGAACTTAGACATCTAGACATCCCAATGTGTTTTTGAACACAAAAATATTTTTGGTACATCTAAAGATTTATATCCCCGGTTTGGGTTTGAACATCGACCTTAAGTTATCCCAAGAATGGTTCGTGTTGGTCAACCTAGGTCTTCTTGATGGGCAACCCGGGCAGCTTCAAGTCCGCCATGTGGATGCTTTGCCGAGCACTTAAACGGGAGGGTGAAAATTGCTGGGATTAATGCTGATACTAATGGCTGGTTAATAGTGGTTAATAGTGGTTTAAGTTAATAATGGCTAAAAATGGCTAATGATATAAAGCCTGGTTGGTGGTCTGGACCATTTTTTATTCTTCCATTCAGTTGGGAAGAATGATCCCAACTGACGAACTCATATTTTTCAGAGGGGTAGGTCAACCACCAACCAGGTTAAATAGAAAAGAAGGATAATCAACTAATATAACATGCATAGCCAACATGATTGGCTAAACGGTGATTTATAACATGTATAATCATTGTTGGTTTAAACGGTGATTTATAAGATGTATAATCATTGTTGGCTTAAACGGTGATTTATAAGATGTACAACCAACAAGAATAGTGACATGTTATGTTACAAATGGGTGAATACGGGCTTTAATTGTGCGGGTGTCTTTTTAAGCGAGGGATACCCATGGGTAAACATGATAAGCCATGGGATTTGGGTGTACATGATTTTAGGCAACCCCTTCCAGCCACATTTCTTGACTGATAGATTCAAGTAAACAGCCATCAACATGGCAACTTTATGCAACTTATTTATTTATAGCCTTGTGTCTTTTGCGGGCCATTGTAGGCGTTCATTCATCCTTTTTCGTTTCTCTGTCTTGGCTTATCACCAAAATTACTTGCCCAGGGACCTTTTTAAAAGCCAGCAATCTATCAGGATGTGTGTTTCCTAAAATGCATGTTGGTCCCTTTTTTGGATGATTTGGGAATCATGTTGATAATGCACAAACTGATCCCCAGAACGATGAGAAAACGAGCGGGTGAGCTTGGGAGTTGTCGCACGGGGAATCGAAACTAAAGCATCTCAGCAATGGATGGTGAAATTCTACTGGTTTCCTGCCCAAAGCATGGATGAAAAAACCGTTGAACCACCAATGTGGTAGGCCCACCAATATGAAGCGCATGTTTCAAGATCTATGCGGTTTACGTCAACAACACATTTTCGAAGTCAAAAAAAACAATATATTGCTTGGTGATTATAGGAGTTATACTACATTATAGTACCCAATCTGGTTAGTGGTTTGGACCATTTTTTATTTTTCCATATATTGGGAATTTCATCATCCCAACTGACGCACTCATATTTTTCAGAGGGGTAGGTATACCACCAAGCAGTTGGGGATTTGCACTAAACCGATTCTGCGAATCATCCGTTCTACCAACCGATTCCATGCTGAAAAGGATGGAATGACAGAGGTAACACTAGACATATGGACATATCAGCATGGTCTATGATGGAATGGGATTACCTGGTATCATCATCACCTATATATATATATATATATATTATAGATACAACTTCATTAATATTTTTCATACCATCATATGATATCATATTACAGTGAAAATTAGATTATAGCCATAAACCAAAGCATATCTATGAAACAGTTTACCCGTTTACCCTCAGTTTTCCTAAGTTTTTTTTTTTTGCGAGGAAAGTCTTGAAGAACGCCAAGACACGAAGGGGTGAGAAGACGACCACAGTGGATTTCAGTCCCAAGGCAGGGGGTTGCTGCGTCCCATCTCTGAATCCAGCGGGGGTTTCCATATGGCTACAATAGCTGGATGGTTTTACTGAACAAAAATCCGAAGAGATCCGAAAGTAAAATGGATGATAACTGGGGCACCCCCAGTTTAGGAAACCACCATATCAACTTTGAATATGTTTTTTATATGTGTTTTATATGTTTTTTTTTCATTTTTCATTCTTGTTAGCCACCTTAAGATCCTGAAGCAAGGCAGTCAGACTGGGACAGTGAGGAATGGTGAAAAGCATACTGAGCTAACTGTTGGCTTTATGGTAGATTAATATATTAAGATCTAGGTCAGGGGGGTAAGTAAAGCCACAAACATCAGCTGGGGGTAAGTAAAGCCTTGTGAAAATGGGGAAGTTCGCCAAATATAAAAAGCAGGTAAAAAGGCGAACAAGTGACGGTTTAACCAGCAGAAATCAGGACTTGACCACTGAATTCTCGAAATGGTATTGTCTTAGAAAGGGGGATACCATATACATTTCCCATGAAGTTGGAAAACTTGTGAGAAAGGACTGGTTCTTGCATAACTTGCTTCAGACAAATCCATACTTGAAACATCCATCATCGATGATGGTGTTACTACCCTCAACAAACCCACTTGTAACTGGCATGAGCCACTTCTAGTATTCCATGAGAATACCCTAATAGGTTATTTAACTATATTAAAAATCACATTTTTTACATTTTTTACAAGGTAAATCCTACATTTATAGGATAAATCAGCTATAGATCAGCTATAAATGGGCCATAAATGGGACCCTTAGGGTGTAGCCCTGGCCCATCCTCAGTCGCTCCATTCCAGTAGTAACTTAGTAATTAATATACATATATTAATAGATATAGATGTAGTCCTTGTTGATAGCAAAATCATGGAAATCATTAGTAAAAACTGGTTGGTGGTTTGGAAAATGACTTTTATTTTCCATTTCATATATGGGATGTCATCCTTCCCATTGACGAACTCCATCATTTTTCAGAGGGGTAGGTCAACCACCAACCAGACATAGATATGCTGTGATATGCTCGATGTCTAGTCTGTCTCGTAAGCTAACGCCTACATTTTTATGGCTTTGTTTTGTAAATGTTGGCACATGTTCTACCCTCTGGTAAACTAACATAACTATGGAAAATCACCATTTTCGATGGGAAAATCCACTATAAATGGTCATTTTCAATAGCTACGTTAAATTACCAGAGGGTATACTACGGAGCATTGGGGTAAAAACAAGATGTGCAACCACCATTTCGATCATTTTCCAAGGGATTTTCATGTTTAGTCCCGGGTAAATCCCATCGTAAATCTCTTGAAATTCCCAACCAATCCCTGAAAAAATCCCTCCCCCAAAAAAAAACTATACAATCCCCTGAAATCCTAGAAAATCCGGCAGACGCCTGTTCAAAATACAGCCATGTTTTCATCCCCTTGGTTTACCCCAGTGGGTAGCCTTCCTTCGTTGCTTCAGGCCATCTCTACGAACGAGCTCTATGGCTTCGTTAACATGCAGACGCGCGAGTGGAAGGATGGTATCATCTCCAAGGTGCTCCGCGGTTTTTGTTCGCCTTTTTCGATGGGAAGATTTTGAAGCAAATGGCTGATCATCAATATACATTATTAGGTAAAGAAATCATGCATTTCGTGAATTATATGGAATACGATTATTCTATATATATATATATGAATAAATATTGTTTCTTTGATGTTTAATATATATATATATACACGTTGTTGTGGTAAACCCACGGATTCAGGGATTTTCACATCTTTCCCACGGCAACACCAGAAAAATGCAGGCTTGAAACGCAATGATGGCCAACGGCCCGAAGGGCTGGTTGCAGAACTCACCTGGGTGTTCCCCCATTCCATCCATAGATGTGGGTAAAACAATAATACCCCATCCCCCAAATCATTCCCAAATGGGTGGTTTACTATTGTTTTACCCACATTATAATTATGATACCCTCTGGTTATTTAACAGTTCGCCATGGTATAGATGTCCTATTTATAGATTGTTACCTATTAATAGCATGGTGGATCTTTCCATGGCGAACTGTTAGTCATAACCAGATAGTAGATGGTTTTTCCCAATGAAAACTTATGGTAATTACATTAATCATCATATTAGTCATCCATCAATCACCATTATTAACCAATATTAACCAATATTATTGGCTGATTACCCATGAAAACTCCCAGCATTTCAAGGATGGAAAAACCCCCATGGTTTTACGTTGCCAGCCAGTGTTTTGTCGGAGAGGTGATGCGAGACTTGGGTCAAATCCCAGATACCCACCCCAAGTGGATCATGTTGGACGGCCACTTGGCAGAGATTGTGATCTGCTTGGATCATATGGCGATGACTCCCATATGCTCCATGCCCAAATGTAGGTAAATATTACATCCATGGAGCATACGGGTATATGGTTTAAATATGGATTTATAGATGGGATAATAGATGGGATGACAATAGAAAATAGATCTATTAGAGTAATTCTATATTTTCTGGATGTCCTTGTTTTACTGATTGGTTGATTTGGGGTTTGAATGAAGCGTCCCAACATTCTATAACCAAACCGGCGCCTCTTTTTTTCCCTGAAAAGGACGTGATATTGCTTGAGAAAGCTACTGTATAACCCATAGGATCCATGTATGGTATATATGCTAACATTGGGGGTATATTGATGGTAAATGTTACCATATATAGCATACATGGATCCTATGGGTAAGGTGGATGGTATGTGTGAGAAGTTATCCAACAAACCCACAGATTGACTGGTCATGTGAAACATGTTTTTTCACATTGCCATTGTTGCGGGCCATTGATGGCTCAACAACGAGCTCAGAGTTGTCGGCGAGTCACTTTGGAATCCGTGGTGCCAAAAATCATTTGCAGGGCCATGTTTGCAATCTTTAGTGCAGGCCAATATTCTGTTAGTCTTACATTTGCCGACTCTCATCAGCTATGAACAATTATTATCAAAGTATCATACTACCTTTCTGCGATCTATTCGGTTCATCTCAGAAACACGTATTTCGTGGGAAAATCTCTGGTTGCCTGAAGATTCGTCCTTAAATTCAATTTCTTTACTAAGCACATATCTAAATGTTTGATGATTTTTGATAAAGTATATATCATTGTAAACTGTTAACACCGGCATGTTTGATTGTCAAACAGCAGTTTTTGTTGACTTTGTGTCAATGGTTTTGTGGATGGTGAGGCCGTCCATGCTGCCATATGCTGCGAAAAATCATAGCACCATTTGATCGTCACCTTCCCATGTACTGTGGTATGAGTTTTCAATAGTTTTGACAACCCATCAGGTTTCATTCATTCATTCATTTATTCATTCATTCATTCATCCATTCATTCATCCTTCCATCCATTCATTCATTCATTCATTCATCCATTCATTCGATCATTCATTTATTCATGCATTAATTCATGCATTCATGCACCATATCATTTTTCAATGAATGATGAATGCATGTTTTCATACCTACACAAAAAGTTTGTTCAACAGGAAGCACTACTACAACATGACCATATGACCCACTGGCTACCTAGCTGAAGGGCGAAACTCGCTAGGTTGGAAGTGCAATTCCAGTGAACTATCAGTGGATATATAATATATATAACTATAGAGTTTTTTTGGGGGGTTATCTTGTCCCAACAAACTTTGAAAAGGCCTTGCTAAATTCTGGTTTTGGGGTTAATAAGATAGCCTTGATAAATTCGGTTATTTCGTTCACCATACGAAATTCCACCCAGTTACTAACCTGGCCGCCGCCTGGCCTTTGAGGCGATTTGGACGCCAATTGGATCGAATCCATGAACAGCGTCATGGACGACAACCGACTGCTGACCTTGCCCTCCAACGAACGTATCCCCCTGAAGGTCTGCCGGCTGAAACAAAACCCCCGCGTGGGTTTTTCTGAGGCTTTGTAGATGTTTAAATATGGTTTTAACAACCTGAAAGTTCAGGGGGTTATATATGGATTTATGCATTATAAACACAATTTGTGGTCATAATTCCTTTGAGGTTTATACTGTAAGTCAAACACAGAAAACATGCGGTTTGTGAGTTTGTGGTTGTGTTCTTTACCAAGAACCCCCAATGGTAAGCAAGTATAAAAGCAAGTCAGGTAAGGACATATTTTTTATGGCTGAACCAGCATCTTTTCCCGCGCCCTCGAGGTGCACATGAAGATGATCTTCGAAATCCGAGATCTGAACTATGCCACCCCGGCCACTGCCACGCGCGCGGGCATCGTTTGCCACTTGGTGGCATGGGTGTTTTCTCGCATCACTGCGCCTTCAACTACCATGTGGGGAGCGGAGGGAGCGTGAAGGGAGCTAGGGTTAATATATATATACATATATATATATAATGTACATTTAATGATATATATATATATTGCCTATGAGATGGAGTTTCCCAAGCATATCGTCAAGCTGCAAATCAAGATGAGAGATTCCACCAAGAATTTGTTTCACAAGCCGAGAGTCCTCTTGTAAAATTGCCATTGAAATGGATACCCTCTGGTAAACGTACCAAAAACTCTGGGAAATCACCATTTTATAGCTGGGTAATTTTTAACTATTTCGACTGGGCCATTTTCAGCCATTTTCAAGTTCGCAAACTGTTAGTTTACCAGAGGGTACCACACAATATCACATCACATTTTCACAAGGTGGTGCCCCCCAGTTATAAGTTGGTTTATAAACCCCATTAACTATAGATATAAGTACAATAAACCATAGTTATTGGAGTTATAAAACAACTTAGCTATCTTGGGGGCACCACCTTGCAGGGGTATCACAGATGATCACAACCCTGGACAGGTCCACAGGATTCCACAGGTCCTGGTTTTCTCATGCAGTGAGGTATGGATGACACCTTTGGTGTCCAGTGGCGATCCTACGTCAAGAGTTGGATCAAGAAGCAGGAGACTTGCAGGGTATCAATTAGATTTTGATTGAAATGGGTATATATATATATATTATAATACTATATATATACACATACATATACATATATATATAGAGTATCCAGCAAGAATATACATATTCTTACAGGGTATCAATCAGATTGGCATGTCTTTTTTTTGGCAACGTCGAGTGGCTTTGTCTATGGCAGGAGCACCCTGACAACATCAAAGACCAGCTGTGGAACTTCTTCGAGAAGTGCCTTGAGCTGGGGTAGGGTGGATTCCATCCGGAGAAATGCGTTAGGATAGGAGAGATAATATGATTTAGCATTATCTATAGCAACCCCCAGAAAGATATAGAAAAGTAGAATTCCACTTGTGAGAAATCACGGTTCTATTTTTCTTGGGGGTTACAAAAAAAGATGATTTAATATGACTTACTCGTAACCAGTTAAGATTCAACTGATCTGATTGTAGATTTAACATGATTACACAAGGAAAATTCGAATCAAACCATGGTGATTTCACGATGAATCTCAGGATGGAAATCAGCAAGGAAAAAGGCTTGAGATGGCTCCAGCAGGGAATGTCCATTGAGTTCCAGCTTTGGGATTGGATGGGGTCTAGAATCGTTGAGCCTCAAATCATCCAAACATTCATCCATTTCATATCCATAGGATCCATGTATGGTATATATGCTAACATTGAGGGTATATTGATGGGATCCATGTTACCATATATAGCATACATGGATCCTATGGGATGTGAAATACTCCTCAATCAAACTCCTGTCTACTGGATCTATTCATGTATGAAAATGTTCAGGGAGCCCTTTGTTGGAGCTCCTCGTTCTTGGATGGATGGCATATCATCCAATTTCCGGAATATCCCATCATGAATTCCCATGAAATTCATGGGTTTTTCAATTTTTCACGACATTTCCCATGAAAAACATGGAATTTCCCCATGGAATTCCCATGGAATTGCCATATGGAACTCCCCGAACTTGATACGTGTTCCACGGCTTGAAGCCACCGAGCCAAGGTGTGGGGCCAGCACTACTATTTGGATGCTGAAAAACGTGAAGATCCTGGTGCCCATGGCTCCTCGCCAGTTCGAATTTTCGGGTGCCCCATATGTCAACCTCTGGTAAACTAACATAACTATGGAAAATCACCATTTATAGTGAGTTTTCCCGTGATTTTCCATAGTTATGTTAGTTTACCAGAGGGTAGTCAGATATAGTCAGTCATCCCCAAATAGATGGAGAAGTACTTACCCTATGGTAAATAAACTTGTTGACCCTGAACATGACCAATTTTTAGTGGAAACTCATCTTCCAACCCCCATCTGCCAGGGTCTATGTTAATTTACCAGAGGGTAAATCAAGTGATTTATTTGATGGTAAATGATCCTTACTAATTGGTATATTAGATGACCATCCTTACTTTAGATAACCAACCATTTACCATCATCAGATATATTAAATCCTTACTAATTTGATGGTGATTGACTTTTCCATCCATTTGGGGAATCCTACTTCTGAAGCAATGCATATATGGGGGTTTCCATCAATGGAGGTACCCAAGCTATGGATGGTTTATAAGGGAAAATCCGAAAAGAACATGGATGGGGGTACCCCTATTTTAGGAAACCACCACATATATATATATACTATATAATATACCATAAATCCTAGTCATTGAAATTATAAACCACTAACAATAAATATCATTAACCCAAGAGTTATTGAAGTTATGTTTTATCTTTCGAAATTCCGACCTAGGGCACCACTTTGTACTCCGAATTTATTACAGGTTTCTTATCTTTCACCTGGATTTTCCATGTGTTCATTCGCCATTTGGGGGAAGCTCCTAGTATTCATGTGTTGTATGTTGGTGGGCTGTCTCAAATCCAAGTTAATCCCATTTTGAGGGGAAGGGGCATGCATCCTGAGTTGGGTGTGTCTTGTCTAAAACTGTGGTAGACCCCCAAAATTGAGTTCTTACATCAAATATACGGATACTGATGATTGACTTGTGGATTTCAAGGGCAACCTTATTTTTAGACAAGCCCAATCAAGCCCACCAAGTGAATGAAGTTCGCAATCCTCAAAACTAACCATCAAAAATGACTCATTCGCTGTTTCTGATGGGAAACACACCATTTATTTGTCGGTACCCTGTTTTAGACAAAGCCATCTCCATCATTATTCATTGGTTAAATCGAATCCGATTGATGGTTAGCATTTTTCTTCGACATCCCCTAACAAACCATCTGTTTATACACACCCCAATATTGGACAAATCCCAATTATGCCTTAATTTTAATAGGGGCCCATCAACCGCCAAAAACAAACCAGTGGTATTGCTTTTTCCATCCCCATCTGAAGGGAACATAGAAGGTGAAGCCTCGTAGATGGCTAAGTCGACACACAGAACTTGCTAAACCAATGGGTTTTTTATGTTTTTTCTTTTGGAATATACCTATACTCTTCATCAATTTTCGGATCGTCATGGATCTTTGAATGGATCTTTGGGTTAAAAAAAAAGACATAACTCTACATGGGTGTGTCTGAAAATAGTGTACCCCATTGTACCCAATGGTTTTGCTGATCATTATCCCTATTAAATGGCTATTTCATTGGGAATATTAACCCAACATTTTCAGACAAACCCACATAACTGGGATACTGGGCCTCACCCCTGTCCTCCCAGGTGGACATTTGTCTCATCAGCGCCTGCTGTAGCCTGCTGGACAACCTGCTGTCTCCGGCCACCTACGAATCCTTGGAGCCGCCTGGCGAGCGATGAAAATGATGGGATCAATGGTGGAATCTGCCCCCAAAAATGGAAGATGTGACATAGCCATGGAAAATCCCTTATAAATGGAGGTTTTAATGGGAAAATCATCTATAAATGGGCAAACTGTTAGTCATCACCAGAGTCAATGGGAATTTCAGGATCCTTTGATATGGAGGTACGTTAGTACCATATTTCTGGCCTTATTCTGTGATATTCCCTGAAATTTAGGCCTTATATATGGTAGGTACCTTCATCAATTGGATCCTGAAAATCCCATTGAACAAGGAAACAGCATCAAACGTAGTTGAACATGCTTGTTGAAGCATCAACAATTGGGATTTGCCTAGTGAGCAATGGGTTTTTTTGTGCGTCTGAAAATTCTGAGCATACCCTGATGTATGGTGCCCAATTTTCAGAGCCCATTATCATGAGAACATGCTGGGAACATGAGAGGAAAACTGGGAACATGGAGACTCACTAGCGAAGTTGTGTAGCTTTAGTTTTGTCCATACCTAATGTGGGTGTTGTCATTTTTTGCAGGGTATCTAAGATTGGCCACGATTGGTCCCATATTTGGTAAATCTGTCCCATATAGCTATGGACAATCACATTTTTTTAGTAAATAACTGGGTAAATTATAACGACCTCACTGTTCTCCCTCACTGGAAATCATGGTTAGATTGTGGGAAATCATCCCCAAATGGCCGAAAGATTCAGGTTAGTGAAATATTATTAATTTTGCCCAGAAATCACCGAACTAAATGGCCATCATTGGAGGTATTGGTTCATGTTCTGCTTCACGGCTGCCTGTGGTCTGTGCCTCGCGGAAGTGGATGGTGTGGATTATCGCAAGAACTTCAGCCCCTCGGAGTGCAGGTGGGGTGAAGATGCGAAGTTGGTTTCTACGGAATTCCAATAAGTATGGCTTATGGTAGATACACATATGATATATAATATGTATAATATCTTAAATATGTATATTAATAATTATTAGTATATATTATACATTGGTAAATTATGACGACCTCACTGCCACCTCACTGGAATGATGGTTGATAAGGATACATCTCCAAAACTTGCCTTAAGTCAAGTGAGTGAATCATTATTAAATTCACCCAGATATATGGATATCTCGTTGGTGGTTTGGAACATGTTTTATGACTTTCCATTCAGTTGGGAATTTCAGAAAATCCCAACTGACGAACTCTTATTTTTCAGAGGGGTAGGTCAACCACCAACCAGGATATCTTTAGTTAGTTAATGGGGGTTATAAACCAAGAAACACAACTGAGGAGCCACGTGCTGGAGATTTAGGGTTTGAAGCAACCAGCATGAGAGGTTCAAACCATGAACACACGTAAACGACGTAAACACCATGGGGATTGAACCAATAAACAACGGACATCAATGGCTGGGGTAAGTGATTTCAATACTAGTATGATGATACCCAATCATACCCAAGATGAGTGTATCTGAAAATGGGATATGCCATGAATTTCTGGCTATTTGAATGGGGACAAACTGATGAAGCAGTGAAATTAGGGACTCATGGCAAGGCAAACCCAGACGATATCTCACAAGGTTTTGCCCCAGAGTTAGCGAACTTGGTTAATTAATTTCACTCCAAAAAACTAGGGTGTATGGTAGATATATCTCCGTTAATAGTGGTTATAGACCAAATTGTACCTCTTGTATATATACATATATATATAGAGAGATGTACTGTTTTTATGGTTAATGGTGGTTACACATAGATATATCTATACCCCAATTATATGGTAGAGATATCTATACTTAGCTGTTGGGTACCATGTCGTACCATTTGGTAAGGAGGAGTGTATTTATTTCACCAAGGTGTCATCCCACCCCCCTAATGCTACATAACCCCCTTCTATGGTCCCAAATATTAGTGGTGTCATCCCCTAGCAAGTTGAAATTTGGCTTATAAACTCTATGAACTTTAGTTCATAAGTACATACGAGATCATTTTTTACTACCACAAACCCCAGTTATCTTTGTTATGTCTACCTTAAGTTATCCAACAGGCCCCCTCTTTGTAAACCCCGGACACCACGAGGCAACTGGTGGAAGGGCGAGATGAAGAGCGTGAAGTATCCCTCCAAGGGTGGCATCTTCGACTACTACGTAGCTCAGTGGCGTTACTGCCTCGTTGTTCCACTGCTAAATTCAAGCCCAATTGGTTGATGCTGGATTTTTTTTCAGACCATTTTAGTTTCCCAAATGAATTGCCGAATTGAAAACGAAAACATAAGTGGACTATAGTTATATAGTGTATATATAATTATATAAATATATAATGGATAAAATCACAATCTATTGGGGGAAATCCCTATCGTTTGAAACCAGTATTTTGCGGGACGCCACATTTTTCAGAGTTTGACCCTGAAAATAGAGATTTTTGAGTGAAAAGATGTGGCTTCAGAGGATCGGTTTTGTGTTTTTTTTCCGTTTTTTATCGGTGAATGGAGCTGTTGCCAACATACAATGCTCGTGTTCTTTCAGGACAATGAACACCAGAAACCCGCAGAGTTCATATAGGACAAACATGGAAACACACAACGTGTTTTCGGTGAAGATTTTCCCGACAAAAGCGATCCATTGATGGCGGAAGTGCCGGGAATTGGAATGCGCGTAGCCCTATGAACTAATCTGGGCAGCCCCCAGATGTTCATGGGGATTTAGCTATTTAACCAACGGACATGGTGGTATCCTGTAATAGGTATTTCATGGGAATATAATGGGTCTATCTATATGCATATTCCTGGTATATGATTTTTTGTTCAACCAAAATGTGATTTTTATGGATGGTTAAGCCCCAAACTTCCCAGGTTTAGTATGTGCAAAAAATGTGCATATGATAAAAATCGCACTCTTACCCCTTAACCATCCCCAACGACTATTTTTTTCTAACAACATCCCACAAGCATCAGCCAGCACTTCCCATGAACTCGGGCCATTGTTTCTCAGTGCCAACGTTTCCCTACTTTTTCTATCGAGAAACATGCAAGTGACTGTCTTTTTTGCCACCATTTCTGCTTGAACCATGGACCACTTCAGAAATCTTTGGTCAAAAGTGATCCAAGCATGCTTCACAGCTGTCGTCACAGTGTCACCTTGTGTCACCATTCTCAGCCCAATTTTTAGCCCAATCTTTCCCATAGATGTCCTTTTCCCATTGGTTGGTTGATTAATAGAGAGGTTTGTAGAAACCCCTTTAACAACAGCTTTCTATGATAATAGATAGGGTTTTTCACCAGCTCCCGGCCCCAACCGTTTTTTTACCAAAAAAGGACGCGACATTCGCAGCCCAGGTGAAAGATGCCAAGTTCGAGGAGTGGTCCACCGCGGTGGAGACCCTGGAATACTCCAGCGAGACGCCCATGGGAGAAGTGACGGTCACTTACCTGTCGCGTCGAGCCGAAAAACGCCTGGGGAAAAGCCGGGAAAATGTGGCCATGTTTTTACCTGGTTGGTGTTTTGGAACATGGAATTTTATGACTTTCCATATATTGGGAATATTCATCCCAACTGACTTTCATATTTTTCAGACGGGTAGGTATACCACCAACCAGTTACCATCCGGATCAATCCAAACATGTCCAAAATCCAGCAATTTATGGATGATGTTCATGGGTTTTTCCCATTAAAACCCTCATAAAAACCCTAATGAGTGATTTAGTTCGGGGATTTCCCAGCCGGCAATGATGACACCGGAGTGGTTTCCAATTTATCATGGATATGATGGGCGGCGAGTTTCTTTAAGTGGATCTTGAGGTGCGAAGCCATCGATTTGTGGATGTGTGGATGACATTAGATGACGAATGTTTTAAGTGCACTGAAACCATCCGGAGGGTCTTAGGGGTCTTGCCAAGCGATTAGTCACATACCAGCCCTCAACTATAGAGCCGCCGTGCCCCAAGTGATTCATACGACAAGTTCCAGAATGTTCCAGGGATATTTCTATAAATCCTCACTACATCTCAAAAAAACGCGGAGCTGCGGAACATGTCATAACCAGAGCCTTTCCATGTTTTGTTGATACCCCAGCGCCAGCGGAGGTGACGACCAATGAGACCTACGCCATGTCCTACTTGATGAAGGCCCTCATTGAACAGCACCACCCCGCACCTCCGACGATGCGGGATTTGTGGATTGCGAGGTGTGATTTCGCAAAGGCTGACCAATAGCTATATGCTTATTGATGCTGGTTGGTGGTGACTGGAACATGACTTTTATGACTTTCCATTCAGTCGGGAATTTCATCATCCCAACTGACGAACTCCATCATTTTTCAGAGGGGTAGGTAGGTATACCACCAACCAGGATGTTATATTTATGTTATTATTATGTACATGAATAATGTTTCTTTATGAATTCATGTCAATGTTCAATGGTTGTTATTTAATGTTATTTACTGCTCTAGGTGACATTGTTATACAGTTATACAATGTTATACATTGTGAATAGCTCTGCTCTCGGAGTAACCGGTCACGTTCCGTGGGGCGCGTACTGGATATTTGCGCCATCAGCTCCTGGAAGCTGAGAAACATCCAGGCCTAGTTCCGGGGGTTAACCATGGCAATGATGCTACCGGAGGTGATATTCCATGATAGTCCCTGGGAGTAATCAGTGATTGACAATCACGTGAAATGGGGAACATTGGGGAAATATGTTAACCATCAAGTTATCATATATTAATGTTATAGCACTTTTATAGTTCACCATAACTTGATGGGATATGGTTAACATGAGGATATTGACAATCACTTCCATCAAATTATGGTGAACTATATCTCCCCGTGAAATGTCCTCATTATAGTTTTCACCTAGCTATATCCCCATCATAATCCTGCTTGTTCATGCTTAAATCCATAAATTCCTGTCGGAAACCCAATTTCATAAACCTCCATTTTTTTAGTAAGGGTTTGGATACCACCCATTGAACATGAGTGATTTTGGGGATGATTTCATTACCCATAGGATCCATGTATGCTATATATGGTAACATTTACCATCAATATACCCCCAATGTTAGCATATATACCATACATGGATCCTATGGGTTATTGGGTTTACTACATGATCCTTATTCAATGGTAAAATCCCGATGGTTGAACCGCGAACGCGCCGGCGATCTGAGGTGATGCTCATTGGTCTGGCGGGATGTGGAAAGACACAGAGCTGCTTGGGACTGCTGAAGTCTTTACCCCCGGATGTCTTCACCTACTACGTTGCTTGGAGAAATTTGGAGATTGTAAAATTGGAGCAGACGTCACTAAACTGGGAATCCTAAACTGGTGCAAAAGGGATGGATGTTCAGCTGTCGCCAAGCAAAAAAAGATCGGATGGTGGCTTGATCTGGCTTGATGTGGGGTGGCTCCTCCAAGGCGATGAACATGAGCTACTACACGGATTCCACCCTTCTTCAGACGATGATGGAGAATCCCCTGGAGAAGAAGGCCGTTTTTTTTTCGCCGGATCTGGATATGGCGACTTGGGGAAGGGCATGAATCAGGTTGAGAGGGAACATGTCCAGCCGTTTTTGATGCAAAGAATTGTCAAGATAATTCACATATACCCAGCTAAGTAGTGTAACTCTTTGGTATAGGAGTGTGGCCTCGAGATGGTGATGGCAGTTCAAACATAGCCAGGTGTCTACTTGTGGATGAATATAGGATACTAGCCTCCCGATGTGATGGTGAAATACTCAAACTTCACACCAAGTAACCACTAATCTCTGCCCCCATTCATATTTAACACACCCCATAAACCACTTCATAGTAGCGGATGGAACCACATATTTGGAACCATCTAGGAGGATGCTTAACACTAGTTTAATATGAATTGCATAGGGGATGAGATTCTTTGAGGCCTTGGGTCTGAATGTTTTGCCACCACGCTAAAAACCACGGCCACACATCAGATCACATCAGCCAGCTCAGCCAGGCCGGAAAGTTGTATGCTCCTCCGGGGAAGTTGCAGTTGATCTACTTTGTGGATGACTTGAATATGCCGGCCCTGGACAAGTACAACACACAGCGCCTCCGGCCGGAGTGGTTTCCGGAGCGGCTTCCATGGCTTGCCCGAAAAATGGTGAAAATGCTATACCTTCCAGTGGTCTTAGATGGCTGGACCATGACCGAACATCAATTTGTATATATTTCTATAGTTTGCTGGGAAAATCATCGAACTTTTTGTGGATTTCGAACTGGGAAAATCATCCAAGGTCTGGATTTTCATCTGGATTTTCCAGCCTTGATCCCATCAGGTCTGCCATCGAGTTGATGAAGCAGAAGCAGGACTATGGGCACTGGTACGACAGGCAGAAGATCTTGGTGAAAGACATTGGCAACACCCAGCGGCCTGGAACAAAGTAATTAGCGGCAGCGGAGAGTTTTCATGGGCCCCCCCTTTTGTTTTATGTTTTGGCGGCTTCGGCTATTGATTCCATGAGATTGTTGATGAGATTCTTGATGCTTTTAAAGTTATGTGTTTTTTTTGTCATCTTTGTAAATCACAAAAACTAAGATGGCTGGAAGATCCATTCTTTGCTCCATTCTCGTAGATGAGTTGCTAACTTATTTCTATGACCATGTGTAATGATCGGAGGGCACATCTTGGTTTCCAGCGCGGAAAAACATCAGCGACCATTGTGTTTAAGGAATCACCAACCTCCAGATGAAAAATCGCTTCAAAAAATCATCAATAATCAGTAGCTGAAGAGAATAATCGGATTGATCATCACTGAAATCGACCTTTCAAGCTTTGAGTTTCATCAAGAGTTGCCAGGGGATGGTTCACCTTTTCCTATCCATTGGAGTGGGATACGTCACAGGACTGGGGATCGGTTAGACACCAACACCATGGGATCTTCGTCTTCGGCCGATTCAACTTGAAATATTTAAGATACTACCCGACACTTGCCTTTCCAACCTTAACACCTTCTGCAAGTTTCTGCCAGTTTCTTGCTTCTCAGATTGAAATAGAATGTGACAGCACGGTGGGTTTGTCGGAAAAGCCTGAAGTTCCATGCTTCAATATACCTCACTAAAAACAGATTTGGTCGTAAATCATCGTAAATCCACGATTCTCAGCGACCGAACCCATGAGTCAAAAACTACCCATATTTGGCTGAGAGTCCACGTCAGCTTTTTTGATGTTCACAATGATACCAGCCTTTTGATCCATGTTTTCCATCCATTTCTTTCCATATCGAATCCAATTCCGAGGTACAGTACTCATCCATACTCATCCATTTTTCCCATGCAATTCCCAGATTCTTCCAGGTGTTCCATCCATTTCTGCAGAAATTCCAGGTACCTGTGCTGCATGAATCCCACTGCGGGCTCCTTCATCGTGAACCAACGTCTGCAGCGCCACTTCTGGTGCTGTGCCGTGCCCTTCCCCGAGCAGTGCCTTTCCGTGACGAATTTTGGGCGGGCCGGTGACTTGGGGCCCAGGGGCTGTAGCTTGGGGACGAACAACAAAAAGGGGGGGGCGATCCCCACTGGATTATGCTGGATCTGTTGATGTTATGGAAAATTGCATGTTTTTTTCATGGATGATAAACCTGGGGTAGAAAAATATGACTTAGGAAACCTCCTAATATAGTTGAGAATATGATGTGAATTCTGATACGAGTTGATATATGTTGATGTATGAATTCCTTTTATTTTCCAAAGATGTTGAATATGGAGTGGTTTTAATACTAGTGCAAAACTCTTCAGTTCGGGATTGCCACTGAAGTAGTTTATACTTTTGGCTGCCCCATCACCAAGAAAGGAATGATTGATCATGTTGAATTCTCATTCATATTTTCTTGGCGATGTTTGCATGAATAGTTTCGCGCTGAAAAACATGATTGGTCTTCATCCTCGTGATACTCAACCCCCGACAGAAAGTCATGGTTTAGTAGGGGATGAAACCACATATTGGGAACCATAGAATGGGGTTGGTTACGTAATATGATTCGGGGGATGGGATTCCTTACAGTTGGACAGTTATAAAACCATTATAAAATCATTAATCTCCCACTGGGGTTGGTAATCCCCCTAATTATTTTGGGATATCCCACTAATTTATGATTGTTAACCAGTATCAGCCATTGTCAAAGACAATTAACTCCTCTTAACCATTGTGATAATGACCGATAATGGTTGATGATTACTCATTGGGGGGGATGGTAGTGAACTGCCATGATTACTAATGATTCTAGTAGTGATTACCATTAAGATCCATTACCCTCTGGTGAACATAGCCAAAAATGGTGATTTATAGTGGATTTACCCATTACAAATGGTGATTTTCTATAGCTATGTTAGTTTACCAGAGGGTAATGGGATAACATGAGATAACTATGAATCCTTACTACCATTCACTGCTATTGTTACCATAAGTTACCAACAAATTCTAGGGGAGGATGGGATGATTCTTCTTGGCGATTTTCCATTTCGGACCTGCGCAAAGCTCGTGGCTGTGGTCCATGAGGTCCGCACTGTTGACCATCTACTCCACCTTCATGAAGGGTCACTGGGCAAGATGTTGAGTGCATTTCAGGTACCCTCCGGTACTTCAAATATGGCTGGTTGAAAAATCCATGAACATCCCATAATATTTTTATATTGTGGAGTTTTCTTTGTCGGTTTGATTACCGGAAGTAGTTCCAACCGGTTTTGTGTGACAACTTGGAGATGATATTGATCAGTTTTTCAGGAGGTGTTGAAAAGTTTGCTTGGGCTTTCATTAGACACCTAGAAGGCACCTGTTTTTCTTGGAAGTTCATTGACAAAACGGAAGGAGATATGGGATTGACTGGTGCATTTCAAACAGGAGGACAAGCACTATGCACTGGGCATACTTCCTAATGTTGTCTGACCAATAGTGATATCTTGTCAATAGTAGAAACATTTTTCCGCAACTCCAGTTTTATCTCCAATACTAAAAGTCAATTAGCTCTATTTACTTTTAGTATTGCCAAAGAGTCATGTTCAGACCTTGTCCAGAGGGCATGGCCAATAGTGGACCCAACATGGCATAGTGGAAACTGTTTTCCCAACTCCAATTTTTTCTCCAATACTAAAAGTCAATTAGCTCCATTTACTTTTAGTATTGCCAAAAGAGTCAAGTAAAGCAAATCCTTTTCAAAGCAGCCTTCCCTTTTGATTAGCAAAAGCTTAGATTCCAGAAATCTGATCCAATTACCAAACAGCTGATTTCCTTATAAAACCCTTATTAAAAAAAGCAAGAAAACAGGTCCACAAAGGGTACTCCCTTTGCAAGCCCCAGAATAGCAATAACAAACCCGCACCAGGCATGGCAATAGTGGAAACTTTTTTCCGCAACTCCAATTTTGTTGTCCTCCTTCTCCTTCTCCTTCTTCTCCTTCTCCTCCTCCTCGTCCTCCTCCTTTTCAGAAACCAACCCTAATCCATGCAGAACCTATGCAGAACATCTCAGAAATCTAACCAAACCCTATGCAGAATCTAACAGAAACCCAACAAAACCATGGAGAATCTATCAGATTATAGATCCCAGCTATAGATTCCCACAAATAGATTATTATAGGAAAGTTGACCCCCCCCTAAAAAAAAAAAATAGGGGGGGGGTATTTATTATTAGGCAGCCAACATTATGCCATTTTACAGTTGACGCACTTTTGCTGGATATATTTTGGTTTGGTTGGTGAAATTGTTGCCTTATATACTTCCCTCCGGTATTCAACCGTATAACTGATCGAAAATCCCCGAACTAAATAGAGAAGTTTTCATAGGAACATCAACTATAAATGGAGGATTTTCTAGCAAGCCATGTTTGTTTACCAGCAGTGAGTCTGTGAATCTTGTACGGATCAGGGCGCCAGGCCCTGCTGGGCTCCCCTTATCGGTTGGTTAATATCCCCAATATCTACCCATTGTTGGTTAAATCCTTCATGTATGCCTGAAATCACTATTGTTGTTGGTGAAATCATGTTAAATCACCATGCTTGCTGGCTAAATCTTATGTTTAATGATTTTAATGGCTTCAATCACTATTTTCGTTGGTCAAACCATGTTTAATTTCACGTTTTTCATGGCCCAAAATCACCACAGAAACCCACGCGCCTTGCCTCAAAAAGGTCACTTTGAACGACTGCCCTTCAAGGGTCCGGTACAGGAGCAGGTCTCAGGCGGGGAAGTGCGGGTGAGACCGGTGGCACCGAAGGGGCTTGCGTTTTTTGGATTCAGCATGATTACCCTCTGGTAAACTAACATAACTATGGAAAATCACAATTTTTAATGGGAAAATCCACTACAAATGGCCATTTTCAATAGCTATGTTAAATTACCAGAGGGTACATCTTTCCATTTTATGATGATTTGTGAGATGTTTATGGTATTTTATGATCATGTATATTATGGATTTTATGATTTTATGTGCCTGAGAATTCTTTAATTTATGAGATATGATGATGGTTTTATGACAATTTATGATAAATTTTGGACCTAAATGAATGTACAACCAGTAGTTGTATATCATGTGAATGATGAGATGGTATGATGATGGTATGATGATGGTATGATGATGGTATGATGATGGTATGATGATGACGATGACGTTGACGATGACGATGATGATGATGATGATGATGATGAATAGTCTGGTCTGATCTGGTCTGAGATGGAGATGTTATGTCATGTGATATGTTATGTCATGTGATATGTTATGTCATGTGATATGTTATGTCATGTGATATGTTGTACTGTAATATGATACGCTAGTACGAAACGTCATCATATGATGCTTGCCACTTGGCCAGTCCAACAGCCACGCCGAGAGGTATCATCAAAGCCGCCTTGAGCCTTCACTCCATGGTGGTCGGAGACTCACTCGTTTTGCATTTTGTTGCACCTAAGGATACCCCGTAACATAGATGTGCATAACATCCACCATGTCTAGATGATTTTCCGATAGAAACCATAGGTTGTTCGTAGGGTTTTTCCACATCGACGTTAGGTTACCCTAGTGGCCCTAGTGTACTTGAGACATCCTCATCCCAGTTGTGGGGATGCAACCTTGAGGGGGTGGATCCTTTGGGGGTTGAGTTCCCATGAAGTTTAATGGAAATTTGGGCCTTGGATGATGCATGAAGTTTTCCTGATGGGATTGATGGGTGAGTTACCCGGCCTGGTTATGACTAACATAGCCATGGAAAATGACCATTTATGATAGGTAAACCATCTATTTCTATGGGCCATCTATACCATGGCTATGTTTACCAGAGGGTAACTCATGACCTGAACTCCCATGTTTTTTCCACGGCTCCACGGTTTTTTTTTTAGGTCAGCAACTTCCGTAAGACTGCCAGCAACTTCCACTACGAGTTCCCTGCCTCGCTGGGAAGAAATGGGGCCAAGGAACCAATGGATATACCATGTGCTTAACGTGGCGAACTGGAACATCACCGTTAAAGTTAAATCACCATCAATTATCGAACTAAATAGACCATTTTCCATATCCCATAGGATCCATGTATGGTATATATGCTAACATTGGGGGTATATTGATGGGATCCATGGCACACCATATATAGCAGCACCATGGATCCTATGGGTATATGTTAAAATTAACTCGACGGTATCAGCTCACCAATCCCAGTTTTTTTTATATCACCGGACTCAGGGAGAAATACTGCAGATCTCCGTGGTAGAAACCACAGAGCAGTGACCCAAAGCGGTGAAACATCGAGGGTTTAAGCGTTCGGAACTACCTGGTTTAGGCGGTCAAAAAAAAAATGGAAATCCCTATCAACCAGTGAAGCTGAATGGCTGTCCATTCGCTGGGATTCTACCCAAATAATCCCAAATATCTTTGAAGTCTTGGAAAAGCCAAAGAAATGCAGCAATGTAAGGCGGAGTTTGTGGGATGATCTTCTCAAAAAAATTCAGGTCCAAATGGGATACCCGCTGAAATTTTCATGAGTTTCTGGTAGTCACATTTTGTCAATACTTCTCAAAAAACATACGCCCAAAATCATAAACAAAGTCTCCGGACCTGTTTTTGTTTGACCAATTCCTATATACAAAAAGGAAAGTAGCCTCTACAAACTTGAACTCCAATATTTTTCACCAGTTGTCATATTTCTTTCACCAGTTTTCAGGTCCAAAAAAACTCACGACACCAGAAACGTCGGGTCCGCCGCCAGGTTCAACATCCGTCACATGAGTGGCGTCTTCAGCGGCCTGCTGCAGGCAAAGCCCGGGGAATTCGCCGAAGCCGAGAAGGTTCGCCGAGGGCCGGGAAGTGATGGTGTTGCAGGGTGGGTTTTACCGTTTTACCCGGCCGAAATGGTGAAAGGATGGAGTTTGAAGCCAGGAAAAATGGTGAACATTGATGGTGTACCCGGCAAAAATGGTGATTTGAACATATTTGAACCACAAACATTGGATTAAGAGGACTTAATATGGGCGGTTAACCATCAAACAATGGTATGTTCACATGATTTCACATGCGTTCATCAACATAGAGATTGAAGCAGCCTAACAAGGCTTTTTGCCCGCATACATCAGGGAGCCGGTCATGTGGTATTTTGAAAGAAATGAAAGTTGAGGATTTCACAAAGAACAAGAACTTGGGACCTAGCCAGCAAACATCGTTTTTTTTTTCACCAAGACTGAAACAACAAGAACTTGGCTATATATGTTAGCATGTCACCAATCAAACATCTGGATATTAAGTATTATGTAACCGTGAAACACTGACATTCACCAATCGAATGGGATCAACCTGTTGAGTTGTGAAGGAATTGGCCAACACACATTTATTCGGAAATCTGTGTATATATTATATATAATGTGTTGGCAGGAACATACACCAGCAATAGTTCAATGATTTTGGGGGTCATGTTCCCAAATTGAAAACACATTCGAACATCTGAAGATCTCGTGGAACATCATAGAATTGATGTTCAAAAAAAGTTCATAAGATCCATTCAGAATTTTGTAAAAAATGATGAAACAAAACACATTCTAAACATCACCACGCTTTCACCACCATATGAAATGAGTTTTTTGCCCAGGAACGCCCAGGACGAAAATCCGATCTTGCCGTGGACAGGTTATGAACTCAGCAGAAACACGGACCATTCGATGATCCGAAAAAGTAGATACAAAGCAAGTCTGACGTAGGTAGAAGGTAAGGCCCCTCACTTATAACTGGGTCCTATATATATATAACATATATATATATATATGTTATATCATGGACCCATTTTATGGGATACAAGATAAATGGCTTTATAAAGCCCATTAAGGTCCATTAAGTGTAGTTATTTCATGTTATATCCACAATAAACCCTAGTTAAGCAGGTGAACTAAGTCAACTTAGCTATCACACATCATCAATGATATATTCCCAGTTGTAATAAGTGGATTGAACAAAAAAACATCAACATCCGGTGACTATAGTTACAAGTTAAGTTATAAGTTAGTTACAACACATCATAACACATATCTGATAGGAGTTATATTATGTTGTATGAACAATATTATACATCATTATGCTAGTTATATCTTATGATTATATAACATTACAAAACATAAACGACTATAGATGACTATAGATGACTATAGATGACTATAGATGACTATAGATGACTATAGATGACTATAGATGACTATAGATGACTATAGATGACTAACATTTTACTAACATTATATGCTAGTTATATCTTATGATTATAGATGACTATAGTTATATCCCTGTGATATTCCCCATAAACCCATCGACTTCACCCCAGTTCGAGTTCGACTTCGATGGCCACGGTGCCAGGTGGTGCTGTTGTGGATCCACGAGAGCGAGCGCATCTACGGAGATCGCTTGGTGAGTCCCCAGGATCTCAAGAAGTACAGGGCCCTGGCGGCGGATCTCAGCAAGAAGATGTTTGGAGACTTGGTGATGACTTGGATGATTTTTGGTGATGACTTGGATGATTTTGGAACCATAGATTTGATATGATTTGATGCTAGGAACCATATATTCATAGTTTATGGTTATTCATATATGTTTTTTTGGGATGATTTTGGTCATTGATTTGTTGCTGGTGGTGTTAGGGATGTTATTTTTATACGATGATTGCTCTTAGATTGCTCTTAAGGTGAATTAGGGTGATCTTAGGATGATCTGGGATGATTTTAGGATGATTCTAGGGTGATTTTGGGATGATGTTATGGTGATTTAGCATGATATTTAGGATGATTTCAAAGTGAACTCAAGTTTTTTCGGGAGATTTTAGGATGATTCTTGGGTGATGTTATGGTGATTTAATCTGCTGATTTGATGCTGATTTTAGGGTGAGTTGATGGCAAGCAAAATTGGTGAGTTGATGGCACCAAGAATTGTGATTTAACGTATCAAACATGGATTGAGATGACTGGATCGTGGGGGGGGGAAGTAAAACATGATAAGACACGGTGATTTGATTTGAAGTTCCATGTTTCCTTCCTCAGTTGAAGATCTGCACAAAAAATACGGCAAAACCTTGATTTATCACTAGATCAATAACATACCATGGAACAGTGGGGGGATTAGATCAGACCTAGGTTTCATATATTTGCATTTTTTTTTGTATTTTTTTGCTTTTTTTAGTAGGACACATTCAAAGTTATTCAAAGAGTTTTGTTTGTATACTTGGAGAACGTGGTGATTTAACGGAATAGTGATTTGAGTAACCCCAAGAATGATAGAAACGTATTTCATATTTTTTTCAGGATGACATAGATGATGATTTTTTTCCCAGCTTTCCACATGTTCTATTCATTTGGGGGTTGCTACACTGGGTCTGTTGAGGGGAACCAATTCCATTTTTTACATCGCTGGAATTTCGGTGACTGTGAAAGGCAGCTGGTGCTGAGGAAAGTTCAACTTCGCCAAATACTTCCAGGAAAAGAATCCGGAACCCCTGGTCTTCGCACCCTTCTCCAAGGGAATCCAAGAGATGGATGGCGGAGGCCGCTAGATCCCCATGGATGGTGAAAACGCTTTAAGTTTGATGTTTGAATTCATTTTTTGAGTTTGTAAACTCCCATTTGTAAGGTCCCCTCCGATACATAAGCCAACCTGGCAATCAAATATCCCACCTTGCTATCCAAAGAAAACAGACTATCTTCCTGCTCAAGATGTGTTTTCTACTGCAATCTTACCCAGAGTTGTCTCAAAATATTTGGAAACCCATCCCGCTTGCCCTAGCCTCCCTGAGGCCGGTTTCTTGTACCATCTAGTCTATGATCATTTACCTGTTGGTTGTTGAATGGGGTGAAACCTTGATTCACCAGTGGAAAACGGAAAAGCTATGAGGTGGTGCCCACTTCGGTGATGTGTGTTGGTTTTTATACCCGACTATAGGATACTATAGTATCAGTATCTCTACCATAAACCCTAGTAGTTGTTGGAGTCATGTTTCTCAACTTTTTCGTACAAGTAGCCAGGGCACCATCTTGTAACATGTCCACTATTCATTGAAGTTACCCTCTGGTAAACTAACATAACTATATAGAAAATCAATGAACATCACCATTTTGTAGCTGGGTAAATCCACTATTTCTATGGTCATGTTCAATAGCTTTTTGTATGTTTACCAGGCCGGGTAAGTCCCGATGTTTCAACGAACGACAGGTTTCTACGACAAGATCCCATCCACGGAGCGTTTGTCGCAGCTTCTGGGGGAGGCGTTGCGCGAGCACCTCGGTCACCATCCACGAAGCCAGCAGTTGGAGTTTTTCAGCTCATTTCCCATGACGGATCCATGGTGCTGGTATATTAATGCTAACATAAAGGGGGTATATTGATGGGATCCATGTTACCATATATAGCAGCACCATGGATCCTATGGGTTTGTTGGTCCCCATTTCTGAAAGACCGTTTCTGAAAATATAAGGGATTGTTCATGTGTTCATCGTTTCTGTCTTGATATATCTATGTTTCTGTGGGTCAAAATTGAACACGCCCAAAAAAACAGCGTTGTTGGTTTGTTTTCACAAGTGATTTCCAGCATTTATTTCTGGTTGTATCCCGAGGGTCAAACCCCTGACGTCCAGCTGCATCAGGTACAATGAGAACAATGCGGCCATGGATTTAGCTCCGAAACTGAAGAGATGGGGATGGCTGTCCGGGATGATGGGTTAAGACATATGGAAATTAGCGAGATTCACACTGAGACATGACTGGGAAATGATGAGTTCGTTGAAGTTTGGATTTTGACGCTTGCGGCAGTTTCAAATACTGGGTAAAACCCGATGATAGATGGAACTAACATAAACCATATAATTAGCAAACCTACCTTACTTCTAGTAGTTTCCCTTTACCCTGGATGCCTGTTGCTGTTTAGGTGCTCTTCAACGACGCCATGTGCCACGTGGGCAAGATCTGTCGAATCATCACCAGCACACCGGGACATCCTCTCCTGGTGGGCGTGGGTGGCAGCGGCAGACAGAGTTTGTCACGACTGTCGTCGTACACCTGTTTGTATCAGACCATGATGATTGTCATCAGCTCCTTGGTGAAAGCCGAGCCGTCAGGAACTGCCATAGATTTTTTTCGTGGCGCGAATCACCTTTGTTTGAAGTATGTTGAAGCTGGCCTGTAGAAACTCAGAGATGATCGAAATGTGTTTAGCCAAAGGATGCCAAAGGCCAAAACTCATGAGTATCATGAGTTCCCACTTTCCACCCAGTTTCCATCGTCCATTGGTCCGAGGTGGCAGCTATGGCATGAACGATTTGAAGGCTGATTTGCAGGCCATGTATACCAAGGCTGGTGTGAAGGATGAAGGCGTTCTCTTCCTCTTCACCGATGGACAGATCACCAATGAGAAATTCTTGGTCTTCATCAATGACCTGTTGGCATCAGGTGGGATCTCTTGGGTTTTTCATTGTTGAACTTTTTGGGGTTCCAACTTGAGTGGAACTTGAGGATTGAAAACATCATGCTGTATCAGATTGAAAACATGTTGAACATCATTGAACTCAGTGAACAAATGGGTATGGGTCAAAACCTACTAATCATGTGGTATAAGGGATGACCATCAACCTTGAGGTTCACTGGGGGTACAGGGTTTCGACCCACATCCAAATCAAACCAGATTTGGGGTATTAACTGTGCGCGGTGGCTTTTATTTTTGCATATCTTTGCTCTTGATGGACAGTTCAACTGCACAACATCTGCGCAATGTACCCTCTGGTAAACTAACATAAGTATGGAAAATCACCATTTTAGTATATCCACTTATGAAATGGCCATTTTCAACCAGAGGGTAACCAGAATATCTATGGTTCATTATGGTTCTATATCCACTGATATCTATAGACCATATCTGGTAGAACCATAGATATTCTGCTACCCTAGAGGTCTCGTTGCTGGTAGCACTTCTGCAGGAGACATCGCGGACCTCTACGCCAGCGATGAGAAGGATGCTATCCGCAACGGCGTCCGCAGCGGATGCAAAGGCGCCGGGATTCAGGCGCAACGCGACGACGCGGCGATGGAGATTTATGGAGGAATATCCCCTGATATGGGATGAAATATGGGTTATATAATGTTATAAATATATGATATATATATAATATCTATAGTATATCTATAGTATAGTATATCTATAGTATAGTATCTATATGGATGTGGGTAGATATCTACATGGATGTAAAAATGGTGGATATATCCATATAATTCCATATATGGGGATTTCCATAGTCATGGGGGTACCCCTTTATCGCTGGTTAAAAAAAGTGGAACATCCTACTAAAATGGATGATTTGGAGGTACCGCTAATTTAGGAAACCTCCATTTGACGCTGGTATAACATGGTACAACTGGTAGGTCCTTGGGAGGCTTTGAGGTGGAGATTTTGCTGTATTCTCATAATTTCTCCATGGCAAGGATGTTTCTTTGCTCAAGAGTAGTAGGACATAGCAGCTATAATATCGCAGGTTACATGAGTCATTGAGGACACATCCACCTCCGGTTACAGCTATCATATTAATATTATGTTGTTTGAGTAGTATTTGAAGCAGTATGTGAGCTCATACTACTTTGGCCAGTATGTTTTTTCAACGTTCAGAGGTTTGTCACAGAAAAGGAAGACCCAGCCCAAAATCCAATTGTTCATCATCATTTCCCAATTTGATTGTGAGTTTTGGGATATACAACATTTCCAGACAAGCCCAGTTCCACTATTTCCTGGTTGAGTCCCAATTCACCTCAAACAATAACTGTTTACCATTGTTGATGCTTAAACGACCATATTTCACCATGTGTAATGGTCAGTGCATCATGTTCAACACATTTTGTTTTTTTAAACACATTTTCCCACTATTATGCAAGGTGGTGCCCCATAGTTAGCTAAGTTGGTTTATAACTCCAAATAGCTATGGTTTATGGTAGATATATCGAACTAGTATTCATGGGGTTTATAAGCCAACGTTCACATCACTGGGGGGGGCACCACCATTATGGATTGTTCAGCATGGACGCACCATGATCCCCATCAGGACACACCCGAGAATCTCTGGAGTTTCTTCATTTCGCGCATCCGAGACTTGGCTTTGAAGGGCTTGTGTGCCAAATATGGTGGACACGTAAAAACGCACAAAAAAAAAACGGTGTGTTTTTCGCCGTTGTTCGCCCACAAAAACCCATGCAAAACATATGCAAAACATGGTGATACATATTGGTTTACGTATCCAAAAAACCGGTCAAGAATGGGCAGTTTAAGCATGAAACATGGTGGATACTCAAGGATTTTGCCATCATTTTGCAGACACAACGATCCCCATTGGGCCTGGCATAATCTATACTGTAACACGTCCTTACGTCGGCCCCCTACAATTGTGTTTCTTGGTTTACACCCATGAAAACTATAGATAGTTCTATACCTCAACCAACAGTTTTTGCCATTAGCATTAAACTTAGCAAAGAAAATCTCATTCAACCCCATGGAAATCATCGTGAAATTCCCATGGAAATCCCATGAAATCCCACAAAAAATCACCATGAAATCAGGCAAAAAAAACCCCAAGAAATTGCCCCTTTGGGCGCCGCAGGAAAGAACCTCCACATGTCGCTCTGCTTCAGCCCCGTGGGCGACGCCATGCGGAACCGCGCACGAAAGTTCCCGGCCTTGGTGAACTGCACCTGGGACTTTCGTGGGGAGCTGGGGGAGCTGGGGCTGCTACCTGGCTGTTTGGTGGTGAACTACCTACGAATCGTAAGTGGGTTAGTTCACCCCAGTTTTTTGAGTGGACATTGCCCTTATCCCATTTAGAAGCAGGGTTATAACATGTTATAACCCACTTACGATTCGTGGGATGAGCCACCAAGTGGCTGGTTGCCGTCATGTTTGGGGGTGAAAAGATGCGATTTTTATGGAAACATGTGGAACATATGGAACATGTTTGAACGTCATATAGAAAAACGGACTTCAATTGGATTTGTTTCATCACTTTCAATTTGCCTCAAACGAAATAGTTGTGCAAAGACATGTGCCAAGGTCAAAACATGGTTTGTTGTCCCGGAAAAGGGAGATTTGTCATTCCACCCATTTCCATAGGGATTGATATATACCCATCATGTTTGGATTCCCATTGGTGGGGATGGATGACCATGGCACATTTTTTTCACCATGGCCATGATATTATCGGGATATCTCCCCATTATAACATACCATACTGCTTTATTATAATTAATAATGGAATATCATTGTGTTGTTGTTCTTTTTGACCATGATAAAAAAAATCCATCGTAAGATCGTGATATAGAATGTGATGATGTTCCCATGATATTAGGTCTTTTATCCCACGATATTCCCTATGAAATACCAGCCAGCCAGGATGAAACATATGATATGCCCTCTGGTAAACTAACATAACTATGGAAAATCACCATTTTTAATGGGAAAATCCACTATAAATGGCAATTTTCAATAGTTTTTTGTATGTTTACCAGAGGGTAAATGTGATCAAATGTCCATGCTATCAGGTCTCCCACGATCTTCCCACCATCTTCCCCTTGCAGCCACAACGGTTCTGTTCTTCCCGGTATGCAATCGGATTCCCATGCCATGGGATTCCCATGCCCATATGCTCCATGTATGCAATATTTACCAACATTTGCCCTTGTCCAAAGTCACCAGTTTTGTAGGTATACCAGCACCATGGTTCGCATTAATAGGATATATTATGATATGTTTCATGATATATCGGATATACTTATGGATATTTTATGGATATACTTATGGATTATGGATATTATATAACAACAATAATCCAACAATAATCTATATGGATATTTATATGGGATGGAAAAAACCCAGGCACGGTGATCGATTGGTTCCAGCCCTGGCCCATGGATGCCTTGTACAACGTGGGAGCCAAGTTCTTGGAGCCGATCGAGCAGCTGGGTCCACTGGACCGGAAAGCTGCTGCGGCACGTTGGGCTAGTTGGGGTAGATTAGTGTTATACATGTGTTATACATAATATATATATATATTATAACATATATATATATATTTATAAACATATATACTAGCTCTAGATGACATAGGAGTAGTAGAAATATATTGGAAATTTACAAGTCCTATGTCATTTGCCTTATGTCATTTTTTTCAAAAAAAATTAACTCCTATGTCATCTGGCCATGGGCTTATACGGATTGGCTGTGGCGATTTTTTCTGTATCATCTTGAAAAATCACTTTCACATGAACTTGAACAATATCCAACCCACAACTCCCATGTCATGAGGCGTTAGTGGGGAACATGTTCAACCTTGTATGGAAACATTATGTTGGCTTGTAAACTCTTAACTCCTATGTCATGATGCATCTTCAATCCAAACAGCTCAATCATGTAATGATGCGTTCCTATTAGCAGTACACCCTAGGAGCAAATACTCCTATGTCATGAGATCCTGTTGCTACATGTGGCCGCATAGGCGGCCCTGGTTCAAACGGTGGCAAATGACATCATGTAGCCAACTCCTATGTCATGGGAATTTGGGGAATCAAATCTAATCTAATCTAGTCCTATCTATCTAATCTAATCTAATCTAATCTGATCTAATCTAATCTAATCTAATCTAATCTAATCCTATCTATCTAATCTAATCTAATCTAATCCTATCTATCTAATCTAATCTGACCTAATCTAATCTAATCTAATCTAATCCTTCTATCTAATCTAATCTAATCTAATCTAATCTAATCCCATCTATCTAATCTAATCTAATCCAATCTAATCTAATCTATTCCTATCCATCTAATCTAATCTAATCTAATCCTATCTATTTAATCTAATCTATTCTAATCTAGTCCTATCTCTCTAATCTAATCTAATCTGATCTAATCTAATCTAATCTAATCCTATCTATCTATCGAATCTAATCCTATCTATGTAATCTAATCTAATCCTATCTAATCTAATCTAATGTAACCTGATCGAATCTAATCTAATCTAATCTAATCTAATCCTATCTATCTAATCTAATCTAATCTAATCCTATCTATCTAATCTAATCTGACCTAATCTAATCCTAACTATCTAACCTAACCTAATCCTATCTATCTATCTATCTATCTATCTAATCTAATCTAATCTAATCTAATCCTAACTATCTAACCTAACCTAATCCTATCTATCTATCTATCTAATCTAATCTAATCTAATCTAATCTAGTCCTATATATCTAATCTAATCTGATCTAATCTAATCTAACCTAATCTAATCTAATCTAATTAATTAATCTATCTATCTATCTAATCTAATCTAATCTAATCTAGTCCTATCTATCTATCTATCTATCTATCTATCTATCTATCTATCTATCTATCTATCTATCTATCTATCTATCTATCTATCTATCTATCTATCTATCTATCATCCATCTATCTATCTATCTATCTATCTATCTATCTATCTAATCTATCTATCTATCTATCTATCTATCTATCTATCTATCTATCTATCTATCTATCTATCTATCTATCTATCTATCTATCTATCTATCTATCTAATCATTAGATAGGACATTGCAGCGGGATGGTTGCGACTCCCATGTCATGAGTCGATGCGGCGTTTGATCAGATTTTTTTGGTTATCAGTGAAAAAATCGTTTTTTATGTCATTTGGACACATGTCTCAGGACTAGCGACAACATGTTGGACACAACTCCTATGTCATATGGTTCCAGAGAGCTCCAAAAGCAAAATTTTGGAATTAACTGATTTTCAACTTGGGGTCCTATGTCATCTGCCCAAAATTTTGCAACTCCTATGTCATGTGCCTGTAGTACTTAAAAAATATAGGCCCGCAAGTCCTATGTCATCTCCACCCAGTATATATATATATTTAAAACTGCGAACCCCAAACGGGGGGAAAAAACCCGAAGCAGCAGCGGCTGCCTCTTTCTTGAGCCATACAAAAGTGCGTGTCATCGCTTGTGCAGGGGCCATGCCAGTGAGACGACTGAAGCATGTAAAAACCCCTGAGACATGTGAACACTTCTTGATTTGTGCGTGTCCATCCAAATTGAAAATGCCACCACACTCCCCTATGTTGCGACACAGCAACATGTCGGTGGCAGCCCAAAAGGCAAAACTTCAGAAGCTATGGTCCGGCTCTCACACGTCAGTCACCACAGAGTAGCTGCCATCACTGGTCTCATCCTCGGATTCCACTGCCTCCTCATAGTACTGGTCCTCATCCGTTCCCCTTTCCACAGTAGCTCCATGGAGGAAGTCCCAGAGCATCACATCGCTGACGTCAGAGCGGTTTGATCGCAGATATCGTGTTCTGCGGCCTGTTGGATCCTCTCGAGGACGTCCAGGGTAAAGGTCGGGAGGAAGTGGTGCCTGCAGGGCCCTAAGCGTGGCTTCCCGGACAGACTCTCCTTCGCGGACACTCAATGTTGGTCCATCATTCCACCTATTCACAGGGGCTGGTGGCCGTTGGTACACCTGGGTCCCCGGGGGAAAAACAGTGTATCTCCTTGTAGGTCCCCAGCTCGCTGAAAGGCTCGAGGACTCCTCCAAAGAGCCAGTCGGCCTCACAACCGAAGCCTCCGATGATGCCGAAGGTGTGGACGAAGGTGGGCCACAATGGCCACCAGCCACCGACCAGCTTCCCATGGAGCTAGTTTCACAAGAGACCTGTCCAGTCCCCATTGATGCAAAAGCGGCTGCACCTCGTCCAATGGCCTCGACCTGGGCTCTTCTCCCACTTCCCGAAGACCTTCCAAACTGCCTCGGCATGTTCCACGCCCGCTCATTGTCAGGCGTCCACACCACCGTATCAGGTTGTAGGCGGGGCACACCAGAGGAGTTTCGTCCGTTTTGAGCACTTTCTGCAAGGCGAAAGAAAGACCATCCTCTCCATCGGCCCGTCACGGGAGATTGCGGCGGAACTTGGCCATGGGACCACTGATCCTCCTGCACAGCCCGTTCCCAGCCTCGAGGCCCTGACCACCAGATGACAGAGATCCTTCTGGCCTCCAAGTCTTCAATTCTGACTGGACAGCTGCGATGGATCGGGTGGAACAACCGGCTTCTCAGTGACCGATGAACCCTCACAACCCAACCATCATTGAGGCTGATCCACAGGTCATCATTTGCCGCGTATGGCGGCTGGTTGAACTCCGCAGACTCCCATGGCGTTGGCCCAAACGGCGGTGCCCGAACAGCACACAAGCGCGGAGCAACCGGGGAGCCCTCAGGGCTACAGTGGGATGAAGTGGGTTCATGGTCCCTCACCTCATGTTGCAATGCAGGTTCATTTTCCCTTGCATCACCCGTGATTGGCCTGGGTTCATGTTCCCTCAGACTCTTTTCTTTTTCTTGTGCTGGTCTTGATTCCTTCTTTTCTTCACCTGGTTTAGCCATAGATGCCAGCCCTTCCATGCAACACATCCATGCTGTCAAAGCTGACAAGCTCACAGCTCCAGCGGTTTTCACAAGACTGTTCGCCCCATGCTGGAGCATCAAACCTCCTAAGGCTACCACCGCCTCTGTTAGGCGACACAAACGGGATGATTCAGTCGGCTGCACAAACCTAACTAGGCCTACAGTCCTACGAAAAACTTCCCAGCTCGCCATCAGCACCACAGGCTTCGTGAGGAGGTCTGCTGCCAGCTCTGAGCCAGGGGTGTGCTGAACCCGCCATTCTCGTGCTGCCAGTCGCTCCCTCAATACGAAGCTTCTCAGTCTCAAATGTCTGGTTCTCCAAGGGCCATCAGGAGCCAAAAGAAGCTGGATCCCTGACAGGTTGTCTCCTCG